AGTTGTTACAGATACACAAAATTGTAATTTTAGTTCGAAATATTGTATATAATATGTATATTAAAAATAATAGTACTTCTCTCTTGAAGTATTTTCATAGCTCTCCATAGCCACAATAATTATTGCAAGTCTCTATTCACTTCGCCATTCCATTTGTCGTCTATATTTTTGACTTTATTTAATAACTTTGTCAAATCTTAACCGATTTTCAAAAAAGATTAACCATCAAAGCATTCGCAAAGGAAAGATCTTACAAACAATGTTCTGGAAGTCGGGTAGTTCCATTTGAAATTCAAAAGTTAGAGTTTCTAGTGCCTTCGGGGGATAAACATATTCAAGAACAAGAACCCCCAAGAACAAAAGTTGACGGGTCTTAGTGGAATTTCGAAAAAATATTTGTTTCTCTATGGCCCGGTTGCTTGTACGCGGATCAACTTTGATCCGGCGGATCATTGTTGGCGGAATTTGGCCGCCCTATTCCAGTACTAACTATTGATCCGACTTTGATCCGAGATCAGTATATCCGACTTTGATCCGCGTACGAGCAACCGGGCCAATAAGTTTTAAGTGGGGTCAAGTTTTTGGTGAAAATACCCTGTATAAATTTGAGATAAAGATCAGTGGGCTATTTTCTTTTAGGAAATTGGCTTTTTTTAAACTCGCGTTTTAACTTATTAGCAAGTTCTAGGTAGGTATATATTTAAATTACCTGACTTTTTTTCTTTGTTAGTAGATTTAACTGTTATATACCTACATACAATTAGTAGTGCATACGTAATACCTATAATTTTTTTAATGAACTTAGGTATTTGTATATACGCTTTTTAATTTTTACGACCTACATTTAAACGCGAATATGGACGAAGTATATCTACATATACCTATTCTTTTTATACCGAGTGTCAACTAGTGTACCTAAGTACCTGCCCGTTATAGAAAGGAAGTATTTTTTTAATTTGTATAACTGTTTAAGGAAATATAATTTATGTATATATAGCAATGCAGTATAATGACGCAAATGAATAAATTAACACGCAGAAAAAAACTAAAGAATATTTCCATATAAATTTTAATAACTCGTGAAACCACAGTTTCCCTAAAACCCAATGTTCAAAACGTTTTTAATTTACTTTACTACAATAAGAAAAGTTCTTATTAGGCTGGCCGAGTGATTATATGTATGTTGCTCTCTGTAATACCCATGACCATTTTACAATAAATAATCTCTGTTTTTCTCCACAACGTGTATGCAACTTAATAATGAATCCGTTAATTGTTAATAACGAAATTCAAAGCCTATCTCTTATTTCATTTCTAAACCAACATTTCTATTTTAAAGCTTATTATCAGCCAATGAATTAGTCATTTCGTTGAGCAGCCGAAGCGCGCCGATAAGGAAGAAAATCGAATAAACTGCCTATAAGTCTTAACTTTAACCTACTTTACAATATAAAGAATTATTTGTACACGTGCTAAATGAAATTTTATTGAAAGAATTTGAAAAACTATCCGAAGAATCTCGTAGTGTAAACGAGCGGATAAGACACCTATGTATAACCAATACCGCCGGTATATCACATAGCAGTGATATTCTGACCACGGTTGATAAAAGGTGTGGATGTGCCATCAAGAACCTCCCACTGGTACGAATTAGTACCTATTCGTGTTCGCAAATAGAGAGGAGTAGAGAAATTAATTACATACATATGTATAGTTAAATAACGGTTAGCACTCGAGTGAGCAACCAATGACAGTCATAGTAAACTACCGGTTGTTGAATAAGAGGGAAAGAACCGGATTAATAAGATAGTTCCAAAACTTGCAATTGAAAATTTATTTATTATAGTTATTTAGTATTTACCTAATTATTTATATATTTGTTAAACCGAGATGCTGAAACGTGTTTGTGAAAGTAGTCACGTTGCCACAAGTTTATTTTATTCCCTTTAGTAAATATGCAAATTCGATATTTACTCCATTAAGTACGACCTATAATACTGGATGTTTATGACATTTTCTGCAAAACAAATAGAACCGATAAGCAGACCCAAGCTTGTTCACTCAGGATTTTAAAATGCTAGTTTTATATAAATTGCTTTCCTCACTTATTGAGAAGATTGAATAAAAATTCAGCGATAATACTTATACATATTACAATTAATATTACATTACTAAATAATGTAGACGTTACAAATATACAGTAAGACATGAGCAAAATAAGAGCAACCAGAGACCTTATTTCCTATTATAATCTTTCAATGAATTTATCAATCTCACAATTATTTAATAATTTAAAACAAAGTAGTTTAGTCAATATTACTTTTAAATATCTACTATAGCGTAGATAGAGTAACTGGTATACCAATAACAGAACATAATAAGCATTATTTAACATTTTTATTATACTTATACTTATATATATGTAACAAATAAAAGTAGTATCTTTTAATATGAAATTATATCGGAAATTATATCAGAAAAGTTAGTCAGTATATCGAATTTCTAATCTGTGAAATGTCTTAGACGTAGATAATATTTCAATAAATATTTTATAATATGTATAGGTATAGGTGTAGGTAGGTTACAAATAAAAAGACCTGCGAGTAAAGGCATAACTGTACCTACATGAAAAATACTTTTTTCAAACATGGAAAATGGAATTATTAATAACCAACTTTACTTGAAAGACTGTGCATTGTGTCATTTTTGTAAACAGGTAAAAACTAATGAAAACTTACGTCAACATACTGACGTATACACTCTTTTTACGCTTTTAATAATTAGGTATACTTATTTACTATTTATTTTAAAAAATCAATTAAGTACCAACTATACATAATACTATAATAGTATGCGAATACGAGTATAAATATATGCGCGCAAAAATATATTTCATTTTACAGAGTTTTTATATTTAATTGTACGTGGATGATAATTATTGTGTTCATAATATTTAGTTCATGAAAAAACTAGAATTTATCAAAAATACTAATTATAATTAGTAAATTATCAGCAATAAGTACTTATTGTTATAAATCATTATAATTTGTATCGTTCTTTGATCTAGAAAATAGTAAGACGATTGCGCCTCTGTCGTAACACATCAATATGCAGTTACTATCGGCAAGTAATAAAGTATTACTCGCTATATTATAAAAATATGCCATTAATGTACACATTTATATTAAATGCTTCTCTTGAAAATCTCCAAGTTAGCGATAAGAGCAAAGTCTGACTAAAGGTTATAAGGTCACATTCGAACGACATTTTATTGGAGAAGAAATTCGTTTATTGTGGATTAGTATATTCTACATTTTGAAATACAAATATTTAAACTGAATACTACATTTTCTATTATCTTAAACATATAATTTCTGTGAATTGGTTTAGTGATAACATATTTTGTAAATAGAGGGTCAATTTTAACGTATTTTTATGTATTTCTGTGGTAATTAAATTTCTTTTACAGGAAAACAAAAGTGCATCGAATGTGTTTTATAATAGGGCATCTTCTTTTAATTGATCTATTGGTAGATAAATCTAATTAAATAAGAGCAATTGACGTACATATTTTTAATGTTAAACTGATTACTCATCGTACATAATTTTTGAATGTTATGATTCGAAATTATTTATTGAGTAGTAACATAACTTTTCAAGCGCAATTAAACAAATTAATTAATTTTATGATGTTTTGCAAAATGCTGCTCTTCCAAATTGAAAAATTGAAATGTCCTTTGAAAGAAACTTTTAAAGGACTTTTCTCACTTAGAGTGGATGTATTCTACATTAATCATGAATTCTTGAATACCTACATAAACCGATTCTATTCTATAATTTTAGGAATATGTTTAATGTATTTAGGTATAGGTATCCAGAAAATTATAAAGAGAAATTTGCTTCATTTAGTCACTTCTCATATTTCGATTTTATTCGATTTTATTTCAAGCCTTTATTAATCACAGAAAATCTATGTTTTTCGTTAATTTTATACATACGCCGAAACCATCAACAGAAATGTACATCTATCATTTCAGATTTCATTCAGTATCAATATCTTTGGATATGTAGAGGACAACAGAAAAATAAATTTTCACTCAGTAACTTTAATATAACGGGACTCATTAATGCTGTGGGAATCATTGTTAAATTTATAAATTTGGTCTTATAGGTATACCTACCTTTGTTTTGATCATGGTGAAACGTTTTAAAAATGTATTGAAGTTGAATTTATTGAAATTATGATGAACTGATACATTTTCGCAATTTTCAATATTAAGATATATTAGATTAAATATTAGACCTATTATAGTAGTTTTGTTCAAATACTTTGATAGATAGGTACATATACATATTGATTCTTGTTATCTTTTGGCATATGTTGAATATATTTCAATATTAGGAAGTGATATTGATGATTCCTATACTTAGGTATACTGCAAAGAATGGTTTAATTTGTAAAATAAAAAACGTAGAGTAGTTTTCGGAAGAATCGAAGGATAACCTGAACACTTTTGGCAGTGTTTAGCAGTGTTCGTTTTTTGGTAAAATTTCTTTTTTTTATATTTTAATTAGATACGGACTTTGAATAGATGCTAAAATAAGTTTATAAGTTCATACACCAGTACAATTTATGAAATACATCTACGTTGGTCTAAATAAAAGTCTAAATGAAATGTGTTTCTCTTTTCAAGAAAATTTTGAAAGTTTATACATAAAGAGTAGGCCTGCATGTAATGTTTTTAAGAATATACATATGGTAGAATTATTGAATGTAGGTAAAAATTATATAAATAAATCAAAAGTATATAAGTTGATAAAGATAAAACGTCACTACGAAAATCGGCCCGTAGTAATTCTTTGTTATCGCAAAGCACGAACAATAAAAATGCCGGTACAAAAATGCAAGCAGAGCACATTCAAAAAAGGATAACGTTAAACTAAACTTAAACAAAACAAACTATAAAATAATCTATGTGTATAAAATTTTATCAACTTACCGTATGTTCGCTGATAATCTGACTTAGTTGTCATATCGCCGTTATCAAACACTATCAACTGAAACGTAACTAGCCTACTTGCGGACTTTTGTATATTCACGCAACAGTCTTGTCGAGAGTTGGAGAGAGATCAGTCAAGTTACTAAGAGACTTCGAATTCGTTAAATCGGTGGGGGCGAAACCTCTGCTTCAACAATGGTGGGGGCGGTACCGCCTCGATTTTATTTGTGCTGTCGTGTCCATCTTAGTTCAACTATTAATTCGGTTGGATATTTTATGACTGTCGAATAAGAGAGTTGTTTTGTTTTTTCGTTAGCGCATTAACAGTTTAGTATAGTGACCGCTCCGTTGATAAAATGGATCCGCTCCACAGAGCTCATTCGAACGTCGAAAGTCACCTTATTAGGTACTACCTGCACCTATTTCTCGCAACTCATATAGGGCCCTTTATTCTTTAATCGTTAGTTTTAGGTACTATTTTTTGATAGGTATATTTGTAGCTTACGCAATTTTATTTGCAATTTTTTCACCTATACGTTTTAATCACACGAGCCAGCTAAAGTAATAAAAATCAACGAAAATTATAGCGGAACATGCGTAGGTAACATTTGAAGGGTCCTCCAAAATTTCTGTAGGTGATTTTTTTTAATTTGTAGATTGAATTTATTGAGAAACTTTTTTTACTTTTTACCGTTCTGGAGAGTAAAAAACCAAGAGGAGTTACATAATTATTTTACACAGTTTTACAAATTTTCACTTTCAAGTTGAACATTAAAGTTGGCCGGCTTTGAAATATGCATGAAAACTTAAAACATGTCATTTTGACATATTTAATTGTCAATGTAAAAAATTATATTGGATGATTTTTTTCGCCCCCAATATTTCTCCCCACAATTTTTTCCTACAAAAAAGCTTAAATATATATTTTCATCATTCAATTCTCCTTATACTGATGGTGCATCTAAAATGAAAATAAATCCATCCGTTCTCAAACTATATGATTTTTAAAAAAAGTATCTCAATAAATTCAATCTACAATTTAAAAAAAATCACCTATAAAAATTTTGGAGGACCCTTCAAATTAACCCCTCAAGGACTTACCACTTTTTTTCTTTCCTCTGTAACCTGTAACATTCTGTATAACGAAATAAAAAACGATTCACGATTTTTTCATGAATCTACTGCAATTTTGGGCGCCCCTAATTTTTCTATAGAGTAAGTAAATTAATTTGTATTCGTTCATTTTATTAGATTCAATCTTCAGAAATAGGTACAAGGAGGATGCTGAAACTAATGGCAATATGAAGCTAAAGAGAGTTGAATACCAAAAATTTATTAGAATATTAGATAATGATGACACAACACCCGATGGTAGATATGGATCCTGGAAACTATATTATCCTTAGCTGAAAATACAGGGTGTCCCAATGAAAAGTAGCCCCCGTCACAAGTAGAACAATTTAGTTACTGCGAATTTAATAGAGAAGATTTTGATAAAGTCGTATGTTTTTAGGATAATGCGTTTAAAAATTACAATCTGATCAAATGGGCTACTTTTCATTGGACACCCTGTATGGCCTTGTTGAGTTCAACAACAGACCCTCAAACTTCGGCCTGCAACACTTTTAGGACTCCATGGTGTTTTTAGCAAATATATCGAGTAAGTATCCCCAGCGATATATCGTATATTTTTCATAAATTTCTTATCAGCAGACCTGAACTCTCTAGAGAGTGTTTGTCAAGTCTTCGTTTATTCTGATGAGTAACAATAAATCACTAATCAACTGTTTACTGTATTACAAAAGGTTACAGATGTTAATCTCTTTATTTATTCTGTAGAAGCACAGCTATTAAACATGGCATTGTTGCGTCTGCATTAAAGGAAGATTAGAACTACCATTATGCAGAATCATAAAAGGTTGTTTTGAAATAAATAAGGAATGACTCAAACTCAAAACGGGAAATAATTTGCATTCAAGACCATTTTTATGATCTGAATTTCAGAAGATGGCAAATTTAGTAAGAAAACACTGTGAATTACAGCTTGAGGATTCGTATATTTTATTTATTTTAAAATAACTTAAATCACCTATAAGGTGTAGTAAGGATGTATAAAACTACAAGTATGAAGCTAATCAAACTTGCAAACTTAAAAGAATAAATATGATACATATTTCTGAATAAAATGCGTGAATGAACTGAAATTTATAAAATTTACAACAGGTTTTAGTTCTATTTTTCAATTAAATTAATCTATTTACTCGAGTAGCTAATTACATTGTTTCGGATAAAATAAACGATAAAAATATATTCTTAAAGTTTAAAATTTATGTACAAATATATAATAGACTTCAAAATAAAATAATAAAACTTATCAAAATAAACGTTATAATAGTTTTAACGTATTCACGCCCATCGAAGAAGATTTCATCTTTCGTGTAGGCTGCACAGACATCGGTGCAACTGGTTGAGTTTCATTGGCGTTGTCACTATTACCTAATTCCTAAAAAAAAAACAAATTCATAAAATCGACTTGTTTTCTTTTAATATGATAAGAATAAAAATACATACGTTAATATTACTGTAACTAGCCAGCTTCATTTGAGCCAATTGCGAGGCTGGCGTGAGATTCGTTGAGCTGCCGAAGGGCGACATCATTGAGGATACGGCCCTTTTCAATTTAGAAGGAGTTTTATTAAACGAAAATTTACGACCTACTTTCAGTCTAGTCGTAGCATATTTGAAAGCTTTCGAAAACGTTCCATTGTTTACGTCACTAGTTTCTATGTCGAGTTGATGGGGCTCCAAGTACGCCAGGAATTTATCCTAAAAACAACACTTTTTCAATTAATAACAATAAAGACATTTTACAAAAAATATGAAGTTTTAATAACAAATTTAGCGATAATAATGACCTAAATTAAATTACCTGACTTCAAACGAAAAAAAAATACAGGGGCGAATCAAATATGAAACGGAATTTTGCTTTAAAAAATTAATAGCCAATTAAATATAATTTTGAATACATCTTATTTTTGTATGTAATCTCGTCTTTTACGACCACAAATTTCACAACAAATCGGAAGTATTTTAATCCCATAATTAAAGAATGAATCTGGTCGCCTCTGTAACCTATTGCGCACAAACGCTTCCACACCTTCGTAGACGTTGAAGTGATGACCTTCTAGTTCTTTTTTGAGTGGCCTAAACATGTGATGGTTAGATGGCCATAAATCGGGACTGTAGGTAAGTTTTTTTGAGTTAATGCAGCTGTACATGGCCTGATTGCCATGGAGCAAAATCGCACTTCGACTATGCTTGTCCTGCATTTTTCGTCGATAAGCAAGCTTCACTTCATCAAAAAGTTGGCAGTAGTACAGTAGTAAATACCATTAAATGCACGTCATTCATGGAGAAAATCTATGAGCAATATGCCCTCTGAAATCTCAAAAAATCGTTGCAAGAACATTCCCAGCAGAAAGACGAATCTTGGGCTTGTCCCATTGCTGCTCCTCCAGGTTTTCCCAGATTTTTTTTTGCCAATCGTAGACATAAACCCTTGAAAGCATGTTTCCAGTGGACTGTGCAATTACTCAACGCATAATTTTGGCAAATTTTATGCTTTCCCGCGATAAAAATTTAATAATAAATGCCTTGCTCAACTGACCTGTACACCTCTTGTTCAGACATGAAGGTACTAACAGACAATCGGCTCTAACGATCCAAATTCACTTATGTCCGGTTTTACCAACATAAGACCTTATTCGATGAATAAATTTAACTACCCAATAAAAATACACAATTTTGTTTCACCGACAACAAGTAGCGTTATTCGACGATTAAATTAACGTTTAAATTACCCAACGAAATTTGGACAGTAAAAGTTTTATTTGATGTTTTCTAACCTCAAATAATATTAATTTGTAATATCTTTGAAAGGGTTTTTCTGATTGGGAATTCTAATTTTAATTTATTGGTTCTAATTTTAATTTATTGGTTCTATTTTGTATTTATTTTTAGTTTGTTTGAGAATAAGTTATATTTCAAAATCTATTAGATATTAAGAATCTTCATTATTATCTTCAACATCATCTGCTAAAGATCTTCAATATAGACGACCTCAAATTGTTTTATAGAAATAAGGATGGTTATTAAATTTTACTTCTCCTCTTCCAAGTAATTTATACTTCTTTCCCTTAATTTTTCGATCCATTTCAAAATCACTCTCAAAATCAAACTCCAAATATAATAAAATAACAATACACACACGTCACAGCGACAATAACCAAAAAATAACCTGAACAATTCAGTCCGAGATTTCCTTTTTTTGGAAAGATTTGAATCCTAAAGGTTGGTTTATCAGAAATATTTGTTTAAACTGTTAAATAGCTAACTCATTTTTATTAAAAGTGTTGCTAAAACGTCAAAATATTTAACTGGAGTTTAAAAGTTATTCATCGAATAACTCTTAATAGATTTATTTATCGTTGATGGAACCGGGCATTACTCACCTTTACTTTACATCCCCATGCAACAAATATCAAGACGCCATCTTACTCACTTCACCAAGGGAGCGTTAAAAGAAAAATTCCGATTCATATTTGATTCGTCCTCGTAGCAATAATGCGCTATTATCCTTCCTATTCATGAAATGTAAATGTACTTACTGCATCCGCTGTGCAAGCATTATTCGCCATCTGCCTGGTTAAAGTCCTTAAAAACGTGACCTTATCGGCTTCCTCGTCGGCCATCGCAAACGAATAGAGCTTCTCCTTCAAATCGTCGTTGTTTCTGCAAACCAGACTGAACACTTTCTGGCACTCCTCCGTCTCTTTAATATCTATTACTCGCTTAATAGTATTCAGAGCTAATAGTCTAATGTGCTTGTAGGGTTTGCTGAGCTGCCGATTTTGCAACGAACCGCCGACCGAGACGCCCGCCGTAACGGTCGAAGGGCTTTTCAAGCTGTTGAAAGTCTTCGACTTCTTCTTGCATACCTCCAGTCGATCGGAGAAGAGAAAAAGAACGAGATTGTTGCCTTTACTGGCCAGCCCTTCCGTCGATGATATCTGAATCACTTCCGTTTTCGCGATGAAATTCCGATGAGATGACACTATGTCGGGCTGCAAAAATGTACCAAAAATAAATAATCTAAACTATAAACAAAAGGGAGTAAAAAGACTAAAAATTCCATCAGTTAGCTCTTATTACATAACCATTGCATATGGTACTATATTACGAGGGATGTGTTTCTAAAGTTCTGGGAATTGTGCTCTAATAATCGATCCAACCATAAACAGTACTTTTGGACTTTGTAGACTCACCAAGACTAAACCAAAAGTAGACTCACTGCAGAAAATTATTGCTAATTGAGATGTTGCTGCGTCTACCACGTTTATATAGGGCGTAAATTAATTGAATGCCGATACTTTAAGATGTGAATATTTGGATGATTTTAAGAAGTTTATATCAATGAACTTTTTTATCATAATTATCTTACTACTCCAGATATTTTCTTGAAAAGTTTCGGACGTGGACGTCTCGGGTAATAGTGGAAAATTAATTTTTATCCCTAAAAAGAAAGTGTGGGCGCCTACCAAATTTCAACATAATATTCAGTCTCAATGAACTTGGGAAAAATTGTATTGGTTTTTATTTTATTACGCGAAAATGATGCGCCGTACGAAAGTAAGTCATTGTACCCAATTTATTCCCAATTGTGCAAGGATAACACCCTGTATAGTGCTATGAAAATGGTTCTTTATCAATTGAAAACCAGAATCAGACGGAACAATATTGCACTGGATAGTAGTACATATAAACATGTCAAGACTTGTCTTTCTCCTATAAAATTGCCTATAAGTTCTGCGAAATAAAAAAAATAAATAAAAAACACAATTCCCAGAACTTTGGAATCATCCCTGGTAATTACAGAACATAAAGATATCCTCTAATTGAAGTTGAATTACCGGGCAATTATCGATGTCATTGAAAATATTGAATAAAGTCACTTGTCCTTCTGCTTTTCTTTTATCTTCATTTATATGTGTCATCACCTCCCTCAATGCAGCCAATGCTTGCTCGAGTGCTGCATGATCGGGATTGGTTTTTGGAGTATTCTTTAAAATATCTGTAAAAATCAAAATGTATATCGACTCATCTAGTCGCATTTATAAATGGGTGAATCTAGTAGTAAAAAAAATTACCATTTAATAATAAACTAATGCTACCGAGTCTCTGCACAGGTCTAATCATAAGCTCCTGCAAACTTTGCCTACCGCACTCCGGTCTAGTCTGGCATGCTTTCAAGAAAGCATGAAACCTAGGTTTATTTTGATCGCACTGGCACAACACTTCCTTCATCTCTTCGAAGTAGTTTATGAACGGCGGATAAGCTCTTTGTAGCTCAGTGGAAAACTTGACGATTATGTTGCCTATGCTGTGTTCCTCGCTCCAATGGGCGGCCGTCCATCTGAGTTCGTCCAACATTTTGATGTGAGTTTCATAGATAAACGGCAGCTTTCCGAAGATCAGGTTCAACTCCGTGTTGTTGAGAAGCGCCTCTTGATCCGGCATTTCTTCCAAATGTTTTTTGAACATCTACACATAAATGAAAATATTTAGAGAATTTGAAAATTTCAGATCAATTTAAAGCTTAGATATTTGTCTAATAACTTGGCTAGAAGAATAAAGTAGCGATTTTAAACTCACCAAATTATTTGTCCTATGCTTGCTACGTTAAGATTTAATTCGAATCATAAACAAATATTGATATACAGATAACTGCAAATCTGTACGCAATATGGTCTATGGGTGCAAAAAGGACAACTTCCTAGTCTCATATAAAGAAAAAAGAAAGAGTAATATTGTGTGATTGCAACTTTCTCACTCCAATAACTTAATTAACGTTTTTTTTATAATATTTCTTTGTCCAACTCATAGAATTGACCATATTGCAAACATATTTACAAAGTACTAAAAAAATTACTATCTGTCACTAGATATGAAGTAAAATCAACTTTCTATCGTGAATCAATAGTTTCATTTAATTACTAAACCAAGTCAATAGTGCATATTTACAAAAATGAAGCATTTAATTTAAAGTAAAATGAAGAAGGAAAAGGTTTTGCTTTGATCCATATTCATAATCTCCGCCTTTTCCTTGCAAGGAAACCCTTCAGATAAATAAAGTAAATGGTACATAGATTATCGATTTCGTCAAACTAGTCGAAACGAGTCTAAATGATGGTTCAAAACAGTTCTAAATAAATATGGCGCATTCTAAATGGTTCTAGACTGTTTAAATGTTGCTGGAGCATTCTAAATTGTTCTAGAAGTTCTAAATGATTCTGGAGGGTTCTAAATGGTCCTAAATGATTCAAGATAGTTTTAGATGAGTCTGGAGCGTTCTAATTGACTCTAAACAATTCTAAATTTTTCTAGACAGTTCTAAATGATTCTGCAGCATTCTAAATGATTCTAGACAGTTCTAACGTAAATGCGTCCTGTCAACCACAGCCTACAGGGGAAATCCAGCCAAAATACTCAAAAATTTTACGTTACAAGCTGTGTGGTGGCTTAGTAACTACTGAAAAAAATGTGAAAAGTTGCTATGAACCTAGATTCAATTTGTAGAAGCAAATCCTTTTGTTTGTAGGAAATGCTATTTTTTATAAATATGGATAATAAGTCCTCGAAGCAAAACCTCTTACTTCACTTCCTTTTATGCGTATACCTTGAAGCAATTCCTTCATTTTTTGAAAGCAAAAAGTTATGCTTCTTTTTATAAATATATTCACTAAAGAAGTAACTTTACTTTGAAATAAAAATAAAAAAAAATTGAATCATTAACTTACAGTCATTATAGTATGCAAAATGTCAACATAATTGGTCTCAGTTTGTAGCAACTCCAGAAACACCTGATGCCTTTGGGTTAAACCTTTTCGAGGGGTATCGATAACGGGTTCTGCGCCGTCTAATATTTCTTTGTTGGGGCTGGTTGAGCAATCCAGGAAAGATCCAGATACGGACAGTAATCCAGCATCGCTTACTGACGATCTTCGTTTCGTTAGAGCCGGAGACTGTGGAAGAGCCAGCGACGAAAGAAGTAATTTCCGTTTTCGCCGTCTAGCTGCACTACCAGGAGTGGCGCTGGAGTCTCTTCGGCCGGAAGGAGACACTTGGTCTAAGTACTGGAACAGGCAAACTAATATAGCAAAGCAGCAAAGTTGATTGTAGAGGATACTTACATCGTCGAAGAGATAATCTTTCTCCGGTAGACTTGTCTCTTTCTGTACGGACGTCCAGAACCATTCGGCTTTTACGATCCATACTTTAGAAGGCGCCTCGGGCTTCTCCGTTACCGTCGTTTCGTCCACCACCTAAATGATGGAAAAATTAGAAATGTATAAGAATCAGTTTTTTAAAACCACTTTTTATTTGGAGAATACATTTCTAGGTGACAAACAGGCTGGCTATTCAACATCTACCGTTTCAAAAAGCATAAGATCTGATGGAATTAAGCATATTGAAGTGATTCGGAATGCTCTTTGAAGAAATACTTTAAACAAAATCACATATTTCATTTTATAAAGGGTGTTAATTAATTGAGTGCCGATACTTCAGGATGTGAATGGTTGGATGATTTTAAGAAGAAAAGTTTATATCAATATATGTCCTAAAACTCTTAGTTTTCGAGCTACAGAGGTGTGTTACAATTTTAGAAAAAAAAATTGCTCTTCTATCATAATTTTCTTATTACTCCAGATATTTTTATGAAATTTAGGACGTGAACGTCACTGGCAATAGTAGAAAATAAATTTTTGTCCCTAAAAAAAGTATTTCCATGCATGGTGGGCGCCTACCAAATTTCAACAAAATATCAAAAGGGGATCATTTTTTTGGTTATTTTTTACGCGAAATTGGCGCGTCGTACGAAAGTAAGTCTTCAGATCGAACTTGTTCCAAAATAAATGAAGATTTTAAAATTAATTTTGGTTTTTTAAAAAAAGCAGTGGCTTGCCATTTTTTTCTTTAAACATATTCAGTGCAAACCCCGTACGGACATCCCTGGTAAAAATTTTAAAAATCTGTTGCCTCAAAAAATGCCCCTTAATAATTAAAAAGTGTGTATAAAATTTTATAAAAATATATGGGGTAATAAGATAATTATGACAGAAAAGTTATTTGTTTTCTAAAATTTAACACTCAGTAGCTCGAAAACTAACAGGTTTAGGAGATACATATATTGATATAAATTTCTCTTCTTAAAATAATCCAAATATTCACATCCTAAAGTATCGGCACTCAATTAATTAACACCCTGTATTATACAAAGAAAAGGCATATGCAATTTTGACTATGTGGAAAATTTTCTTTAATGAGACTTAGGCATGCAATAGAACTAATCGATATTCTAATGGTTGAAATGTTTATACACCTTTCAAAGTTTTTATTAAAACTATAATAAGTTGTTAAAGTTAAAAGTATGAGGTGCTTTGTGCATTACTTAAAACGTTACTAAATAACACCAAAATATAGGCAAGTTGAAAGCTCTACTATTAATAATTTTTATACAATCAGAAAGATCATTCCAAAAGATGCAATTTAACTTTAATCTTTTAAAAATTGATAACTTATTTTCAACGATCACTCTTTTCATTAAAGAAAATTTTCAAAAAACAACAAAAAACAGTGAAATGAAGTTAGTACCGCAGCAGCAGACACAGAAGTTCTCCTTGACGCCCTGGTGTGTTCACTGCTAAGCTCACAAGTATTAGTGGTAAACGGGTTTAGGGATATGTCAGGGAAACAGGTCGCGTTCAATTTCTCTTTGGAGTCGATTTCGCTGCAGTCGCCAAATGACAATTTGGTCGCGTTCAAATCGTTAATTTTCTTTGCTTTGCGGGTAAATTTCGACGAACTGAAAGTTCTAGTAAATAAATTTTTTTTGGGTCGTTTGCACGTACTAACTGGCGTTACTTCTCTGTCGTAAGTACTTAAATTTTGCACAACGTCTACGTTGAAAACGCCCGAACTGGAGATTACGCTTTCGCTTAAACTTTGATTGAATGTCGTCGCGTCGATTGTTCTTCTTCGATTAGAGAAGTAATTTATCGGAGTTTTGAAAAAATCCGAAACCTTCTTTTTTCTTTCAGTGTAACATTTTTCTCTTTTTCGCTTCGTCGAAATATTCGAATGTTCGGGGGAATTGAATTTCCGCTTTCTTTTTTGAGGCGTTACATTAGAATCAAGCGATTGATCGAAAAACGTATTATCCGTGCAGTTAGTATTATTGTCATGAGAATTTTCATGTAAAGTTTCTAGACAAGCGGTACTTTGATTTATTTTAAAACAATTACTAAATGATAAATTGTGGTTGCCGTTATGATGCGAAGGTGTTTTAGGAGTTTTAATTTTGCCGGATGCGGGAGAGGTTTGATGAGTAAGTATATCAGAACCAAATTTAGATTTGGGGGATAATGGTGCGCTAGCAGCTTCTAATGTGTAGATTTCAGCTTGTTCCATTACCTAAAACCCATTACTTTGCTTGTTTACTGATATTAGTATCGATTTTTAAGCTTAACAAAAATGAATAAATGTAATAAATGTAATAGATGTATTCCCAAACAATCCATTAAATACTAACCACATCATTTGTGCAATTGTGCAATCAAATGGAAGCTAGTAATTTGTTTTCTTTAAATTTATTAGTCCATATTTATAAAAATGAAGCATTTACTTTAAAGTAAAAGGTATGTAAGAAGAAAAGGTTTTGCTCTGATCCATATTCCTAATCTCCATCTTTTCCTTGCAAGGAAACGCTTCGGATAAATAAAGTAAATGGTGTACAAATTAGCGATTTCGTCAAACTAATTGAAACAAGTCTAAATGATTCTAAACAGTTCTAAATGATTCTGGAGAGTTCTAGATTGATCCAGACAGTTCTTAACGATTCTAGACAGTTATAGATGATTCTGGAGCGTTCTAAATGGTTTTAGACAATTCTAAAAGATTCTAGACAGTTCTAAATGATTCTGCAGCGTTCTAAATGGTTCTAGACAGTTGTAAAAGATTCTAGACAGTTCTAAATGATTCTGGGGCGTTCTAGATTGATCTAGACTCAAACTGAGGAAATACAGCCACAATACACAAAAATTTTAAGTTATAAGCTGTGTGGTGACTTAGTAACTACTGAAAAGATTGTGAAAAGTTGCTATGAACCTAGACCATTTTACAAGTAAATCCTGTTGTTTTTAAGTAAATGCTTCTTTTTATAAATACGGCCTATTATCTATAAAGTTTATTACTACAAAATCAAAATTGACTTGTTGTATGTATGTATTAACTACTCGAAGGAAACTTTTTACACAATTAAATTGAATTAATTATTAAAAACAAATTTCAATAAAAACTTTCAATATTAAAAGAATGTTTACCCTAAATCTTGATTATTTTTTACACCTTTCTTACAGTTACCTAGAATCTTGCTTTAAATTGACAAAGATTATATCCCAATAGATACTATGAAACCCAAAATTGAAATTTTAAGATTTACTCAATAAGGATTAGTGAGTTAATTTAAAAAGAAAAATAAAACTTACAACGTGTGTGCAATTAGGATCATCTAAACTAGTAACTGTGCCTCCGTTCAACACCAACACTTCAGTCATATGCTTTTCTTCTTCATCCGCAAATCCAACGAAGCCTACTCTAGCTCCATGGAAAGGTTTCAACTTGTGTTTAACCTGAAAATTTTTAAGTTAAATGTTAGTAAGTAAACCAATATTACATTACAAATAAAAGTTACAACTTACAGTGAAATCTTCAATAGTAACGGTAAAACACATATCCATGCGATGGTTCCAACTTTCAATAACCCAACTAGGGTTCATTACGGGAACTCGAAAAGTAGCTGCATACTGATATTTATCTCCTCCAGCTGTATTAGCTATGAGATGTGTTACTTTCGATGACATGTCTTTTCTAATTGAGCCTCCCATATGATGAATAAGGGTTACGAGTTTAGCCTACAAATAATTTTAAAAAATCTAATCAATTTAGGAACTTCAAGAATTATACTTTTAATTTCATTTTTAGTTAAAATGTACTTTCTTCAAATCTTTTTAAAATTGTGGTATTATTATAAAGAACACAGCCAAATTATTAGAAATGATGTGTATTAAGAAATGAATAGAATATTCATTAAAAATTATAAAAAACACAAAATTGGATTTATCTAACTAGTAGTTTATATGTCACATCACAAGTATTTACATATATTATTGATGTACGTTGCACTTTGGTAATTAAACATTTAATTTAAAACAACATTACCATAAAAATGATTTTGTAGAAGAAATAACAAGTAAAGAAAACAAATGTACACAATTTTACAAAACCATCAAAATTCTGATTTTTACATGTTCGTTAATCATATTATAAAAACAAAATGTTTCTGTTACTTTAGAAATTGCATGTTTCGGATGAATGGAATATTTTTCAAGTGAATTTTAAAAAATTACCAAATTCTATTACTTATTGACGCATGTTAAATAATTAAATGTTTCCAGAGTTGAAAGCAGGATGGTTGTAGATGCATTTCTAATTCATACGAGTTTCTATTCGAGAATAAAATAAAAAAATTGGAAATTCCTCCAGTAAGTACTTGAATGCTATATTATAAATTGCTTCCGTAAGGTGTAGTATTTTGGTCTAGTATGCGGTCTACCCAAATCTATTGCAAAGTATTTATTACAAAGTATAACAGCGGTAACCTCAAGTATCAGAATTATATTTTTAAATGGGTATTTAAATATACCTAGGCGATTAGTAGGTATATAGGCAGATCTCATAATGAACCAAGAAAATATTAGGTAGACCGCGAATATGATGGTAAACTGCATAGAAGACCAGCACCATATTAAGAAAGATATACCAGTTTTCTTCTTCATGGGGATGTAGGGATAAGAGAATGGTAGTGGCAATAAAAATGAGGTATACTTACCAGTTCTCCTTTTTCTCGAAATCCTGTGAAGCACACTATAATACCAGTCATAGCTAAATTAAACAAGGGCCTCGTATTGAATGGCAATTTTTCTTTTTTAAGAGACAGCTGCTTGAGCGCGACGGGACCCAACAGTTGCAGCTTGGACTTGCACAATTTATTGAAAACACTACCTTCGAATTCTTCGACCACAAACACAGTATTGCAACTGTCATCTTGAGCAAAATCTTGTCCATCTTTTGAATTTACTACAGGGACACCAAACGTTTGAGCAACCGTGTATATTTCTGAGTTGCTGGCTAGACTGCCCACCAAACATATTCTCACATCCAAATTGGGAGGCACTAATAAATGAAATAAAAACATTAAAATAGACGGAAAATCAGAAAGATCGTCATGTGAATTATTTGTTCAAAATAACCTTGAGGCAAACAACATAACCTAAATAATATTCTGAAATTTTTAGGACGATTGAATTGAAAAAGTAAAACGTATTTTGGAAACTCACTGTCGTTTCTGGACGTATCATCTCCGTTCGAATCACTGCATACGGAATTCTGATTGTGAATAAAAGGAGCTCTAACTTCGTCCATTTTGGCGAAGCGACTTTTTGGTTACAACATCGATAGAAACACAACAGAAAAATAAAAACTTATTTCATACGAACAATAGCAGTTATCTCATCAAATTCCACTTCTCTTATTGTAGCAAAATATTAACACTTTCGATATCTCTAACCACATTTTAAAATATTTTTACTTTGTTTGGCACAAAAAAATACTTTACGGTAACTTTGAAGTTAAAATTGGCTTTCTCATTGGTCGGTTTTATAAACGTTCGTTCTTGACATTCGAACGAGTCGATGTTCGGCCATTTTCGGCGCAGATCATGCGTAGATGAACAAGGTTGCCAAAACGCCAACGTTCTTTACAAGGTGACATATACAAAAAGGATTTATCACTACAAACGACAACACTATTTGAGATCAAATAAAATCGATAATCAAACTCGATTTACATTTAGATTAAATTTCGATGAAATTATTAGATTATTATTAATTAAAATTCCACTAAATACACCAGCAATGGAACAATTTTTAGGTTAATATAAATGTGGCGTCATAATAAACAAGCTGTGGTTATCCTCGCTAGATTATCTTGACTACTGTTAACTACAGATTAGACAACCTATAATACAGGTTGAAGTTCGTTTTAACAAATTTGGTCATGGATATAAATATATTTATTTGGGGAAAAAATATAAGTCGAGTTTGGGTCAAAACAAGCAATAAATTTACGCTCGGAAACGTATTGCATTTGTGTATTAATTATTTTTGTTTATTAATAATTAACGAACGAGAAATTAGTGGAAGTCTCATAGAAAGATCATATGAAATGAAAACATACGATTTTCCTTAATATTTGCTTTAACTGAACGATAGTGGAAAATTATGTGTTGGCGAAGATAGTTGAAAACAGGCGGAAAGTTTCCATGAGGATGGTTTACAAAAACTGCCACGCTCTAAAAAATACCAGGAAAATTTTGGGATGTATGTAGAAATATAGCTGAAGAATTCTAGAAGTTTAAGCAATAAATATTTTTTTTGATATGTTTGCATGATTTTTAAATTACTCGACGTCGACGTAACTTACTTTCTGGGCAAACCTCTAGTATACATTGAAGTAAAAAAGTCCATTTAAGTGCCCACTTCAGGGTATTTTTAAATGGGAAAACATAGGTTCAGTAATTCCAGTAAGATTCAAATATGGCTACATTAATATTGATTTGAATCTTTGTTCTACATAAAATGGAGACTCCGAGCAACGCATCTCCTATTTTTAATCTCTCCTACTTAAGAGACCTATATAACTACTTATATATTTAAGAAAATTGAAATCAAAAACTGTCATTTATTTTCAATGCTTTTTAAATGGCTAAATGTAATGTAATTCTAGTATAAAACGAGTTTCATTGAACAAATGTGTGAATAATTTTAATGCAATTAAAAATCCAACGGTGTCAGGTCGGGAGATCGAGGAGGCCAGGCAATAGGTCCCCTGTCGCCATCCAACGGTTTGGATATTCAGGTGATTCCACACACCAATACTAAAATGAGGCGGTGCCGCTTTGTGCATGTTTCGAGTGGTAAGTACTCTATTAAAGTACGAAAATCGTTCTGTAAATACAAATATGGTCGTCCAATCAAAAAATTGCCAATGATTCCTGTCCAAATATTAACTGATTGGAACTGATGTTGATTCGACAAAATAAAAGCATGCGGATTTCCATCAGCCCATACATGCGAATTGTGTAAATTCGTGATACCATTTCTAGTGAAACTTGCTTAATCTTGATTCAATAGCCATTTGCAAAATGCATTCTACAAGGGAAATCTGCAGGAATTAAAAACTTCTTTTGAAAACTCCGTTTCATTTCGGCGTATTAAACTGTGCTGATAATTGTCGAGTGCTCGTTGATGGAGTGTCATGTAAAGCATTTAAAATATTTTCCTTCAATTGCGGCATTCGTACGGTTCTTCTAACACCAACATTTTTCCAAACGTTCCTAAAAGTATGAAAAAGTTAATAATACGTATTACCTATTCACTGGAATCGCCCACCTGTCTCCCTTAGACGTTGGTCAACTCGTTGAAATGTCTTCTGGTTTGGAAAAAACACGACCAGGAAATCTTTCAATGCTGGCTTCTGAAGCATTGCAAGATGCAAGACCATCTATCAGATGCATATCTGTATACTCAATAAACGTGTATTCCTTTTCGGATTAATTTAATTAAGAATTAACGATTAAAGGATTAATACGTCAAAGATGTGAAACACAGCGCACATCTAATTGGATGTGTGCTGTGATGTGAAAGATGACAAGTTTATACAGGGTACATTCAGTGTTATTAAAAATAAAACATGAATTCGTTTATTTTTTTCGTAAACGGTTTATTTTATCGGCACTTCAGAGGAGTACTTTTTCTTTGTTTAAGGTTCAAGCTTTTCAGATTTATGAATTTTAAGTCTTTATCATACAGGGTGTTGAAAATTTAGGCATTAAGGGCTAAACCTTAGCCCGGTCCTGGTAAACTAAAAAAAAAACTATACATGTTTCAAGGACACTATTTTATGAGTTCCTTATTAGTGTCCTCTCATAACATATTAGATTTTTATTAAATTATATTAAGTACTTTAGAAGATAGTTAAGGAAAACCTATTTCTAGCGGCGTTCTTCAGGGACGCATATCTTCGTAGGGAGGGTTTATGGGAAAACTTTATACGAACTTCTCATCTTATTTGTTCATGTTCTACATGGATCCGAGAGATTTCCCATACTTTCAGGGACACCTTGTATATTACCCCACTATTTACGAATATGAGGGAGTGCTTTGGCGGCCTTAACTGCATTGTTAATCCACTTATCATTATTATGATTATATCAAATCATTATTAATTAAATACCGTCAATAACACACAACTATTACACTCGGGTAATTTCAATACATAGAAAGGTTTGCTTCGATAAAAAACCATTCGGGCTGTGTAAAATGCTATTTTGAAAGCGTATGAAATTTTAATGACTTGTCATTACAACAAGCGCCTTGTCTACAAATTAATTTTAGTAGCTTGTTAAGTTCATAAAAATTTAACAAGAGGTTTCATCTAAAAAAATTGTAATAAATTTATTAATACAATCGTTACAATTTATTCGAACACGTTAGTATAGGTGCCCTGCGGTGAAATGGTGAAAATAAAGTGATAATTATATATCGGTGATGGCCAATCAAAAAGTAAAAGCACAATTGATCACATGTAATTAAATAAATAAATATTAAATATTAATCAAATTAAAGTTACGTATAATATAATATAAATATAAAAGTATAGTAAACCCAATACATAACAATAAATAATTGTGCCGTAATAAAAATAGTTACACTTCAAGAAATTTACCACTTTCATATTATTTTGTAACATAAATAACATCGCTTCGTAATATTATTCAAGCACTAACAATTTCAAATAGCAACGTTACGACTATTATAATTTTCCGTTCTTTATTGGCATTGCGTTATCTTCTTCGTCGCTGTAATCTTCTAGGCTATAAAAGTTTTTGGATGTCGACGACGACGAGGGCGAAGGCGAATCGAATCGGGGCGATTTCAACGGAGGCATCCCGTCATCGGATATCAAATCTAAATCCTCTGTACTCGAACTTGGACTGGCGGGCGGATGGGGCGACACCGGAGGACTCAAAGCACTTAAAAGTTTCCCTTTGCTTTCGTTCCAAATATTCGAAAGCCGTTCTCGGCCGAAGAGGAGCAAGAAATTTTCAATAAACTCCCTAGATTTTTCTTCCCACTTGGCAATCATGTCGTCCTTTCGTTCACCTATACTGTCCATCACCCTTCTTCCTTTGTCTTTCAATTCGTGCATCTTGTTTTGCAATCTAATCTTCTTCTCGCTCAGGTATGAAATATTTAAATCTTTGGCCGAATATCCTCTCGCTAGATTTCTTCTAACGTATATGTCGTAATCACGGACTATCCTCGCTACAATATCTGATGTTGAAACACCTTCGGTTCTTTCGGTTGCCACAAACATTCCCTTAAAATAAAAAAAATGTTTACATTAGTATACATCTAGGGTGTTAATTAATTGAATTCCGATACTTCAGGATGTGAATATTTGGATGATTTTAAGAAGAAAAGTTTATATCAATATATAGGGTGTCCAGAAAATAGAAGTCAATAATTCGCGAGCGTATAAATGACATCAAAATAAGGGTATATCTTCACATAAATTTTGTTAATTTTGTTGAGCTTCCATTTTTGAGCTAGAGACCTTTAAAGTCGAAAATTTAAAACTTATTTTTAGGTTCTATTTCCAAGTTATACATGGGAACAAAATAAAATTTTTGTTGTTTATTACCTACACCCGTGTGCCCAATTTGGTGATAAAATGAATCCTACACTATTCTCTGGAAGACAGTGGCAGTGATTAACAATGAATGCCCAGTGATTAACAATTCGTATATTTTATGGGGACAATCTGTATAACACAAACGTATCGTAAATACATTCTTTAATCGATAAACTAACAAAAATGTACTCTTATTTGAAGTCGAGAAAATTAACGGTTATAAAGAAATTTTTAGATTGAGATGATAGGTAGAGACCTTAAATCTACTGTACTCTAATCTAATATACTCAGAATCTACTCTACTCAAAATCTACATCACTCTATTCTGAATCTACTCTACTCTACTCTACTCTACTCTACTCTACTCAACTCAACTCAACTCAACTCAACTCAACTCAACTCAACTCTACTCAACTCTACTCAACTCTACTCAACTCTACTCAACTCTACTCAACTCTACTCAACTCTACTCAACTCTACTCAACTCTACTCAACTCTACTCTTCATTTCTCTTCTCTACTCTATTTTACTCTATATTACTGTATTATAATTGTACAAAGGACTAACTTTCAATTTCCAAGGAGCGTAAACATCGTTGCTGCTATCCGAACCGTAGGGCTCATCATCGTGGGCAACGAAATCAATTTTATGTTCCTTAACGTATTCATCAGTCAATTCCCAAGGCGCGTCTCTTACGATTTCATCCACATAACGGCAATGTCTTAAGGCTTCGTATCGTTCCACTTCATCCATTACAGTACGGCCCTTTTTACTGTGTGTCATACGATCACTACAAACTAAAAAAAAATATATGTAATAGAGCCAATTTGGTACAATAAAAAATATTGACGAATTCTTAAAAATTCGTTTAGAAAAGAAGAAAATTATTTAGGCATTCCAGATTAAAAAAATATAAGCTAATTATCTTAATTTTTATTATTAACCGTTAAGTTGCCAAAGACGAGCATCAGCAAAAAGTTAAGGTGAAAGGTGAACATCTCGTTTATCAGCGTATACTGATAATATTGATTCTTTAGAGCATGTATTATTAATTACGTTAACAGAATTGATAATCGATATAGAAATTTACCGGCGCGTTATTAATTTTGCATAAATTACTAGCTCTAGTTATTTGAGAATAAACTAGGAAGGGTATTAATTTTAAAGTTTCAATAATACATGAATGACTTTCACCAAGGATAAAAACGAATAACATTTGTTAACTGAAAATATTATTACTAAAAATTCTACAAGACAGACTTGACGCAAAAGAAGAAGTTGAAATGTGAAAAACTGTTAAAAAATCAGTTATAAAACTATAATAAAGTCTGCCGAAAGCTGTAAGCATATAAAAAAAAACGTTTACAATGACCAGTTAAAAATAATGTGGGTGAGTATATTTTTAAAACGAAATTTACATAAACAATACTTACCACCTACAATAAGGTAAACGTTCGGAAAAGCATTTTTCGCTTGCAACAGTTGCCTAGCATGACCCTGATGAAACAAATCGTATATCCCATCGGCGTATATTCTTATGGGTCTGGGCGCTCTGCCGCTCTTCGCCATTTCGTAGGTGATTTTTTGCGAATAATCGCACAATTCACGATTTCTAATTGCTTCCTTCTCATCGCTAAAGGGAGCTGGACCGCAAGTGGACGACTGATGCAGACAACATAAAAAAAATCAAAAAAATCAATTTATATTAAACATTTAAAACGCTACATTCGAACTACCGTTAGAAATTATAACACCAATCAGCGATTTGGTGAAATCTATGTCACAAAAGCACCGGTAGTCTAAAAATGTACATCAAAATTTCTGAGTTATGTGATAATTTTAATTAGCAGTAAATAATCAGTTTGGCTTTTTAATTATTCGATTCGATTTTTAGTGATTTCAGCAAATGGAATGGAAGACTTTTTATACAAATTGATTGGTAAGAAGCTTTTAAAACCCAAATACATAATCGATGATAGAGCGTTGTTGGTTATAATTACACGATTGTTTCAAGACCGTTCAATTGAATTAAAGTGCAATAACCAAGGAGTCAACTTATTTTTAGATTCATAGTAGAAAAGAGGTGTTTGTTCAGACGATTTAATTGAATATAAGATATATTAAAAATGTAACCTTATTTTTATAGCAGTTGGAGTATGTACGTGCAACAGTGACTTTTAGTGTTTAAGAAACAAAACAATAATTAAATAAACAAATTTAAATAAAAATTATTATTTATAAGACAACCATCTATTCTTAAAACAGATAAATTGGACGGATAGCGTCAAATGAAAATTTTAATTGCTAATCAACTGATAATCTAATGCATCGAATGGCGTGATTATGATGAATTGTAAAATTACGTAGATTGCTAAATTTCCAATTTTTACTACCATTTTAATGATTATTAGCATTTAAATTCAACCGGTCGACAGACATTTTCCTTAGAATTTTATCACATTTCATCCGAGGATTACATTACAGGAATTTAATTGAGTAAATAAAATTGCACTTAAAAATTTAGAAGGACTATTTCCGTTGATTACTGCTGATGTTTTACAATAAAATATCACCGTGAAAAAAATATAGAAATTAGAGAATTAAGAAATAATATTAAAATGTGATTACATTTTTTAATAACATATTTTCCAATACTCCAGTAGTCTGAAGTCTGAAGCAATACTATTATATTGCTACTTTCGAATTGAAAAATGTTAGGTAATTCTATCAAGATAGAAAACTTACCCTTTTGTCAGTAACAGAAGGCCTTCGCGTCACAGACACGTTAAATATTCTCAAATTATCCACGACCATTATAAAAGTTTAAACCGAATCAACTTTCTATCTATCCGATTTTAAAACATAAACTCGAGCTGATACCTACGTTTTATAACCACATCAAATCACTATAAAATAATCTTAATTTATGTCTATGATTAATTGAATATCGCGCTATAGGGATCAATTTTTTATCAACGGATTAGCAGTGGATTTGCTAACAACTCGGACGAATTTGGATAGAAAATTTTTGTTGGCCTGTTAACTGGAGCGAGTTAAGTAGGAATATTGTTTCACACATCGGACGTGTCTTTCTAGCCAGGGACGGACACCGTATACGTTAACATAAATTTTTATTAAACAATTTTATAAAAATAACGTTGAAAGACGAATTTTTAATTCTTAAAACGCTTATTAAACTATTTATACGCAGAATAATTCAGTACGCGCGTGACTTTGTGTTAAAAATAAAGGTACAAATGGAAATGAATATGTATATTGTATAAAAATAAATTAAAACAATAGTGAACTCATGCCTAGGTAGTAACAAGGATTTTTTGTTCATATAAGGCATACACAAATATACCAGACATTCTGGAATTGTTTAATAATAAGTAGTTAAAAATATTTTTTGAAAGTACCAAATTAGACACAACAAATATTTTTTCTTTTAATTGCAACGCTTATTGCGAAGCTCAATTGCAGTGTATTATTGTTTCCAAAACAAGATAAATCATTAAAAAACCACCAGAGCATTTAATGTGAATTACAAGAAAAAATACTTGGGTTCAATTCTGTTTTACAGTTCACCAAAGATAAGTTTTTGAAATTGCAATTATTGAATGATAAAAAAAGTAATTAAGCAAAGGGTATTATTTACATGTTAAAAAAATGAGGATAATGGAGTTTAAGAGGACTAATGAGTTTCAATACACAAAAACCTCTATTTCAAATTAGTCGGAGATAAACAAAAAGAAAACACGTACATGTGTATGTATGTAAATTGCAATTAATTCTAAATATAGAGCAAACGTTAATAATCTTTGAAATTAATCTAAAGCTAATAGAAAAATAAATGAATGCCTTTCAATTTGATTTGAGGAGTTATTAAATACTACAGCAGATCTGGAAAAGTTATATTATACTTTCAATAAAATAAATATACTACTTTTAAATCGCATAGAAACAGAAGGTCAAAACATTTCAGCATTTAATATTTTCTTAATTCACTTTCCTACGTTCTTATTTTTTTAATTCAAAATTTTAATTATTAATGTATTCTCTAATTTTTTGGTATAACGGGCGATTAGATTCGTGACGTTAATCTTACACAAGTAAATTCAATACCTATTATATTTCGCATGAAAGCATGCAATTTCAATTATTAATTTTTATTTTTCCATTTAAATAAAGATTAGAGTTAATTGCATTTAATATGCAAAAATAATGACTTTGCTTTCAAAATTAAATGTATTATAATTGATATTTATATGGTTTATAAAAGTAATTATTTATTCATTAATCAACTAGTTTCAATGCTCAGCGAAAATTACATTAATTTAGTTGCTACACTATAAAAAATATGGTTTTCAATTGATATACATACATATTTATGACGTAAATTCATAACAAAAAATTACATAATAAGAATAATAAAAGTGGCCTGTTACTAGTATCTATCTAAATATCTAAAAAATAGTCCCCATTATTGCTAAATCAGTGTAGTGGAGAAGCATTGAATCAAATTTTGAAGTTAATTAGCAAATAATATCATACTGCAGAAAATATTATAAAGAACATTTACATTTTATTTTCTATTCCTTTCCCACAATGTACTATGTATTATGTATAGTTTTTTTAAATATACAACTTGGGTAATTGAAGGTAGTTTCAAAATAAATATTTATAGAGGCTCAAACAAGGTTTATAATAGATATAAACAGTAAAAATAAAATTGATAAAGATTAAAATAGTGCCATTCTCTAAGTACTACTTTTAATAATTCAGCAGGAATTTATCAGAAAATAAAAAAAATAGCTTAGGATAATAAACCACAATTACCTCCAAACGAAAATAACGAACTTAAAAATTGCAAACAATTATATATTTAATCAAACGATAAATTTAGCGTAAGTTGTTGTGCAATAAGGAACTTTTTTTTGATAAAACTAAATATCACATTACGTCACAGACCTTTATCGACTTTTACACTACCATATTCATCAATTACTGAGTAATTTCGCGAACGAATTTATACTTTGCAATTTTCTTAAATAAAAATAAACTGATTCCATTAAACACATTTATATACAGGATATTTTACTAATATTTAAGGGGGTGATTCTTGGACACATTTAAAACTTCATATGAAGATATGTCCTAAATATAAAAATTATTACTACCCCATTTCAGCACAGCGGTTAAAGCAGGGTCAAGCAATAATTTTTCGTAAATTTTTCTGCTATACAGAGTGTTTTTTAATTACGTGCTAATACTGAAGGGGATGTTTCTTGGACTCATGCGTCCTAAACCTATTTTTTTATTAAATTGTATTAAATTTATTGTACAAATGAATGAATTTATTTTTTTTTAGCGAAACGGTGAGTTGTACGAAAAAAAGTCAAGAAATCGAATTTGTTCTAAATTGAACAAAACCCCCAGAAAATAATTTTTATTTCAAGAGAAAGCACTGTCGTGCCACTTCTACCCTTAAAAATATTTGGCCTGAGTCTAGTACGGACGCCACTGTTGGAAATAAAAAAATGTTTTTTAGATTTCATAAATTTCATAATAATATTTAAAGTGGTATGGAAATGACAGTAAAAAATTGATTGTTTTTTTCTCAAAACTTTAACACCATATGCATCTCAAAAATTAGGGCGTTTAGGATATTATGTTCTTATGAAGTCTTTTTCTTAAAATGGGTCCAAGAATCACCCCCTTAAGTATTAGCATGTTATTAAGAAACACCCTGTATAATTAACTAGAAGAAGCATTTTTAACAGATATATTATTAGGGTATTCAGTTTATAAAATATTTTTAAATTGCTTGAAATTATGTCATAATTATTGCAGACTTACCGTTTCTAATTAGTGTTAATTTAAAAATATTATTAACGTGAATTAGAATTAGCAACTCTATTTTGTGATAAGAAATCTGCTAATATGACTCATTGATCAATATTTTAAATGACCAATTTTTTCTCCAATCGAATGAATAAGGAATAAACTAGAACAATACAGGTACATAAAAATCAAGCTTGTATATTGGTTTTTCTATTTTATCAAGCTATTATGAAATAATGGAGGTACATTTATGCAAAGTAATTACAACGTAATAAAGTTAACAGTCTTGAATGTAAGTATGAAAACGTTGAGAAAAGATACCTTGAATTATTATTGCTGATAAATTATGTTATCAAAGATTTCGAACAAGATTCAACACAGTTACTTAACAGATTGGTAGTAAAATCATGATATATTTATAAACAAATCCTCAAAGTGAGTGAGTCATTGTAAAAATGAAATCGTACGCATTTTTCCTTATTAATAATTTAACACGGTAATTCACCATACTATAATTAAAACTATAATTAAAATAAAAACTTACCAATCGTGGTAATTGCGTTTGGGAATGAACAGTATTCATCTCTTCGGAACTATTTTTATTTGCTTTCCTTGGCATGAGAGTAGAGGTCGATTATTTGAAGAACTGCATGAAAGAGCAATCAATTATTTATATAAGTAACGTGATTACTGTATTATCAGGAATACTACACTACAATAATTTCGGAACTAAATACTAGGAACTGTATAAACAGTAATTTTTTTATGCAATTGCGTAATTTTAAGCAACACAGGATGGTATTTTTTAATTACAAGAATTAGTTAATTATTTCAAATCATCACTTACCGAGCATTCATAAATAGTTTTGTAAAAAAGTGTTTAAATATATTGGAATAATTTTGACACGTAACTTTACAGATGTCAAAAATGTAAGGTTGGGTTTCTTCTAAATATACGTTTCAAATCTGATCATTCTGATTGGTCGGAAAATAGTGGCGAGATATTCAGAGAGAGGGAAGATTTTCTTCTTTTTGAACACTTATTTAACTTGCCAAATTTGTTAATTTTTAATTGAATTGACTAAAAAATGTTTTAATATTTGAATATTCTACGTAAAGTTTGCTATTTTTAAGCAACTCACCGGTATCAGTAAAAAACACCATGATATCCTGAAAGAAATACCTTTAAAGTACAAGATCAAGATTTGATACGAGATTTTATACTTTGTAAAAAAAGAGAAGAATTTAAATAAAAAAAAGGTTATGTTACATTTATTTTTATTATTACACTTCAAAAACTAAGCCACTAATTAGTAATTTATTAAATGAAGTTGATTTGTAGATCCTAAAAATGACTCTTATAACAACTTGTGTGAACAGTTTAAGATTCCTTAGTAATATTCACGTGTACACACCGCAACTCTCGACAATTAGGTTTAGATACCATGCGGAAAAAATTGCTAAGGGCCCTTTACTAAGAAGATACGGCTACGATGACAAAATGCTGCAAAAAGGCTTACTGCCTCGAGACAAAGATGCTAAAAGAATCGTGCAAATACCTATGTATAAACCCAAGGACTCGTGGTCCGAAAAAAGAGCTTTGTTTGGACAGAACGATTACATAGATATCCTAGGAAATGCAAAGCTGCATCCCACGAAAATTTTATACAACATGCCCAGATGGTTAAGAGGTGTAGGAGGTAACGAATACCAAGTGATGCTCAGGAAGAGGAGGATGCTCGGGCAGACTGCGTATCCAATCGCTAGGCCTACTAAGTGGGAACAGTTAAATAAAAGAGTCCATTATTTGTACAAATTTTTAAATTGGAATACTAGAACTGGCAATTATTAATTTAATTATAGTTTAGTATGAATACTCTTGTATTAATTTTTAATAATATACTTATGTTAATTTAGTGTAAATGTTTTAATTTAATACGTTTGAAGTAAAATATTAAATATTAGCCATACAAAAAAAAGAGAAAAGCTAGTACCAGTCTACCATGCTGTCGACCAACATATTTCGTCGCCAAAGTACGAAGGTGGTCCGATAAATTCTAAGCCTACAAAATAAAACGAAAATTTTGGAAAAGCGGCGATTTATTTTTCAACGTAGTCTCCTTTAAGATCGATGTTCCAACTTCTTTAACTCGTCTGATAAATATGTTTTCTCAAGGTTTGCAATGGAAGACTCCATGGCTTTGATGACCTCTTATTCATTCGAGTGAAAATCCGCCCGGCGAGAGACTTGTTCAAATTTGGAAACAAAAAGAAGTCGCACAGTGTCAAATCTGGACAATAAGGTGGATGACGCAGCAGTTCGAAACTCAATTCGACCAATTTTGGCCATGGCGACTGTGGAAGTGTAAGCCGGTGCATTGTCTTGGTGGAATAACACTTCTTCGCCAAATGAGGCCGTTTTTCCTGGAGTTGGCGTCGAATTGGCCCAATAATTCGGAATAGTACAACCCTGTGACCGTATAAACCGTATTGCCTACTGTCTCAGCTATTTTTCGCACCTTCAAGGGGCGGTCTGCCAATACAAGATCGTGGATTTTTATCACGTTATCCTCCGCGTGGTAGCCGTTTTCGGAGCACCTGGGCGTGGCTCATCAAAAATCGACGTCCGAAATTGTTTGTAATTAATTGATTATTAATTTTGGTATTTGTGAGATATTACATGGCCAACTTGTAAAAACGGATTATTTAAGAATAAGGCAGAAAAGTAAGTTTTAAATAAAATTTTTAATATCTTCAAAATTATTAGGTTTAGGTATAGGGAAGTAAACATAAACTTTCCTTATTTTTTTTATCGCCAATTTCAATAAAATAGAAAAAAATAGGTGGTTCCATTAAAAAAAATGAAATAATTTGGTATTTTTGAAGTTCAACTTTTAACATGTTTTGTATACACCCTGTATAAAATAAAAAGTATTTTTTAACACAGATTCAAATACCTTGCTAATGGCCACCCTACAGAAACCGTATCCATATCTTTAAAGGAATCCCCGTAAAAAATAATTTATAAGGGTCTGCATCGGTCAAATTTTTCAAAAAAAAATTAGTAACTCAAAAAGTATGCAATTTTGAAAAAAGTTTTTTAGACAAAAGCAATCTAAAATTTTGCGTAGATTTCGAAAATATATTAATATATGGGGTGTCCCATTTAAAATAACAATGTTGCTGTCCATTTCCGGTATAACCGGAAGTCAAGAAAAGTTGAAAATATTTTCATTGAATAGAGCGCATCGACTTATACTTGTACACACATTTTCAAATTTTAATTACCACTACTTTTCCAGATACTTCTAATGGGCCTTCATCGTGACACACACTGTACTTCACGTTAATTTTTTCTTGTGAGAGTGGCGCTAACTGGCGGTGAGGCTAAGTATTACACTTATCGCACCGCCCTCGTATAGTTTCCGAGATCACTGTACTATAAAACATCGAAAAAACTCACCCTGTATAATTCTAATAGATACTTCCGCAATTCTCGATAAATTAAATTACTTACTTGCTACAAATAATAAAACACCATTAAATATATTTTCTTTTGCTTTAATGAAGGGTCAATTTTCCAAATCTTGCTGTTATACTTTGTGATTAAAAATACTTTGTATAAAATAAATTTGGGTAGACCGCATACTAGACCGGCACCGAAATTTCTTCTCTAAAGAAACTAAAATATACATTTTATTCTGTAGATTGATGAAATTGAAAAATTTTCCATATAATTTCAATTTAATTCGCTGTATACAAATAAGAGTAAACGATAACATAAAAAAACTATTCTTTTGCTTACCTACATTTATATATTACTTTATACGTTTTATAAATTTTAGCACGATTTCCACTAGTTATAAATATATCAGTCCGAGTAACATTCTATTCATTCATAGAAATTCTTATGAAAATTTTAAAACCCCCTTAAAAGTTCACGGTCAAAAGTAAGTAAATACTGCAATAATTCTAAACTAGAGTCACATAAATTAAAGCTGCTAAAATTTCAGTGTCTACAAACAAATAATAACATCACAATTCGATCGTCTCAAGTCTTAATAAGGCCTTCTGAAAACGCCACTAAAGATAACTGCTCTCTGCATTTTATCGAAAATAAGGTAAATAAATGGATGATTGCATGTAAATACAGCGGGCTCCGCGGGCCTGCTCGATCTGAAACTGAAGAAAGTCGTCGCAGCAGCAGCTTTTGTCCCTTCTTCATTCACTTCCAGTTTTGCTTTGTGCAACGCTGCACCCAGGGACACTTTGGAATCTGTTAAAGTTGAAAGATCAGATGACGGTGTGAACAGATCCCCAACACCCATGTATTCTAGAATCTGGAATAAATAAACAATTTAATTTTTATTACCCATTATCAAACTGTTATGCAAATAGAAATCTTCATTGTCATATATCACATTTGTTGTTTTCTATATTGAATACATTCGAGAAACAAAACGCAAATAAAACGCTAATAGTTTTATTAAACACAATTTATAAAGTAAAATTATATTTTATGGCACTTAGTAAACGAAATCTGTCCCCGATGGAGCTTAATTACTTATTAAAACTACTAACTTAAATTTATACAGTATACCAAAAAAGTATTCGTACACTCGTATTATAATCATTATACGTGTAATTACCCGTTTAATAAATATACAAATGAAAAAACAATTAACAGGCAGATTTGGCTCCATCCGATCCAAAAATGTTATACTTACTCTCATCTGACAATATAACCTGGTTCCAGAACTCTAAACGTTTATTAATGTAACGCTTAGCAAACTCCACTCTTAGCTTTCGATTTTTCTTATTTATCCTTGGCTTTTAGCAGGTCTTCTTCCTCTATATTCTAATCGCTTAATGTGGTATCGAAGAGTTTCCGGATGGATCTTATGCCATGTACTGGATTTCAGTTCAGAAACAATGTATGGAGCACTTACAAAGGGAATTTTTTTAACTTTTTGATAAATGAAATTCTGATCTCGTTGAGTTAACTTGGCAGTACCTCCCGATCTTGACTTATTTTCCACGGAACCAGTAGATTTATATTTTTTCACAATGTACTGAACTGTAATATGTGTTTTTTGAACAATTTTACCTATCTCCTTATATTATTTTCCTTCTATAAAATGATGGATGATGACTTTTTTAAGTCACCATCTATTTCTTCAGTTTTTCTAGGCATTTTAAGGTAAACTTGAATTATTTTGAAAACAGAACTAGGAGCTCAACCTAATACTAATATACCGGCGAAAACAATAAACAATTTAATATCTACAGAGTGAAGAAATTGATAAAACGTTGCTGTACGAATACTTATTTTGGGGATAAAGCAAACATTTTTCGTTTTTTTTTATTTTACATTTTTAATAACAATGTTAATTAATGATTGCAAGAATAGTCTTGAAATGTAGATTTTAATTTGCTAGTTACTTCTTGTTTCTGTTTACTGAACGCGGACTTCCAGAACATAATGCAACTGTACGAATACTTTTTTGGTCTACTGTATGTAGGTACTTAACGTTACCCGTAATTGTGATGCAGACCTAATTATAAATCCTCTAACGAGGCATTTTAAATTTAATTATATTATTTTGCTAACTGCACCCTTGTCGAATCGTAAATTATATGAATAGAGTTTTAACAGAAAGGACTTTTTAATGAACTAAACAGATGCTATTTTTTAATCTGATGAATCTGCTAAACCGTTGTTTCAAATGAGCAGTTCTTGTACTACTGTTAAGTGCTGTATGAATGAAAAATTAGATGTGAATATTTAATGATGTATCTAAATAAACGATTAGAATTTAAATCATTTAAATAAAAGAGATTCAAGATCCTACTACAGCCATTGTGGCTTGATTAAAATTAAAGTTATTTTTAAAAATATACCTAGGTACTATTTGATTAGGAAATTCGTAACTATTTATTATTTCATACAGAGCATTTTGATTTCTTGTAACCTATTCTGTTATTTTTTTAAACAAATCGTAAATTCTTAACAATCAAACGTACTCAATGTACATTTTATAACATCGGTACATTAACGAGCAAAATGAAACATAAAAATGACGATAACAAAGGGTAGGAAAGAAGAAAATAAAGGATCAGGCATACTTTAGCAACAATTAATTTGCACCTTGGTGGAAAGAATAAGAACTTCCAATTGCGATTTTTTCAAACTTTTCAAACCCTCTCTGCAACTTTCAAACTTCTCCTATTCTTGGAAGCAAATATTTTAAATTGGCGAATCTCTTCAACAAGAATGCTTTAACTTTCCTTGCATGCATGTGATTTCCAGCCTCCATTTAAACATCTTTCCTATCCGCAAATCATTTGTAACTACCAAAACGCTCCGCATAAAAATATATCACAAATATTTCGCCTCTAATTTTAATTATACATCTATTGATTGGATGGGGGTGATTTCAACAAGCCGCTAAACAAAACTGTCTTCGCTTTGCGGTTGTAAATGAAATAAATGAATGGCTTATTGCACGTAACGTTGACGATATCGTCTTCGTCTCCCATCATTCTAAACGTAAAGAAGGACGTAGCCGCGGCAGCTTGAGATCCTTGCTCGTTGATTTCGATCCTTGCTTTATGTACCCCTTCACCCAGGGAGACTTTTTTCGACGTGAGCTCGCTAAAGTCCGCGTTCGACGTAAACAGGTTGCCCACACCCAAGAAATCTAGAATCTACCAAAGAAAGAACAGATGTGGTTAGTTCGGTTAAATGTGCAAAGGGCTCTAATCAGCTTGTGCTATATAACTGCAGCAATTTCCACGATTTCATTGAAATTTTTTGTGTAGCTTACGATAAGGAAGCTTACAGACGGTAGATATTACATATATCTGTATTAAAGCATCATTGATAAAGTATAGGAGTTAGAAACGATTAGTAGCAACATTTACAAAGAAAAATGTATATATGTACATAGAAACGAGTAGGTTTGGTTTGCATACTATTTACAAAAGCTCGCTATATTTTCATGTTCTCATAAAATAATGTAGATTTCTCTACATGCGCAGTATTGCACGTATATGAGATAATTTGTATTTGTAATAATAATAATAATTTGTAAAGATAATTTGTAATACTTTTAAATGTTTATTCTTTGTATAGGTACTTACCGGAGTCATTTCCAATGTGGTTTCTAAAGAAAATTTGGGGAAAGCCACTTGCACCGTTTTGGGTATTAAATGTTCGTTGTCGACAATGGATTTGAAGTTTTCGAGGGTCAATTTTTTCAAGGTAGCTTCAATGGAATTCTCGGTGTTAGACCACGGCGGTAAGATGATGTACATGCTTATGTTGCCTCCTTGGTAGGGCATCTCCAAGATGTGGGCTCTAAGAGTTTCGGAAACATCTGGAAACATGCTTTTGTTAAATCAAGAATGTAAGTTTGGCGCAATAAAACACCATCCACCGACTAAATAACAGAAGGATTTAATGTATTGCAATTCTTCAAGTTATTACCGTGTTTAAAAGTGCCCTCAACGTGCATCATTTGCACTGTAATTTGCTTAGTGGGACTGACGTAGAACACGTCTGGTTTAGTAGCTTCCGGGGGGAATTTATTCTCCCACAATCCTTTGAAATAGGCTGCATTAACCAGCACCAGATCGGTCTGAGCGTCAATGGTTCCCGGAGGTAGGAGATCTTTAATCATGTGGTGCGTTATGTTTTCCACCCAATTGTTAATAGAAACTCTTGCTGCTTCCGGACTGGTAGCGAAATCCTTTCGTTCCAGTTCTTGGGGGAAATCATAGAATATGCACTCTTTCACAGGCACCTTCTGTTCCACGTAGAATTTATTCGCGCTGTTGAATTCGTACGGAAGATCCCTGGAGAGAATTTGCGTCAGAAGTTTGTCGGTTTTGTAAGCGGCGTAAATGTCGGATTTTTCCTGAAATAATGCGTAACTACAATAACACATAAACACCTAATTCAGGTACTGAGAAATTGCTTTTGTGCATAAAACAAGTAAGGTCATAACTCATAACAGCTCCGAATGGTTTTTATTGATTTCAACGATAATAAATCTACCAGTGCTACGAGGATATAAAATTAGTTAAAATGCATATCAATTTTTTCCGCTTCGCAATTCAATAGCTTACGTATGGACGTAAATACCTAATAAAATCACAGAATATGCTGTAAATTCTATTTCATAGCAATTTTTATATACCTAAAATTGTTATATCTTTCCTCTTATATGTTAGTAATAAAAAATGGTACAAACCTGTGTTGGATTCAGTCTTAGGACTTTTTTCAAGTACTGCTCCGTCTGCTTTCCCGACAAGAAGTACGCCATAAGCAAGGCATGATAGGTGGAATAGGGCGAGAAGAACAAATTTTCATTTGGCAACACTTTGTTAATGGCGTTCAGCAAATTAAGGGAAAATTCCTGTTGTCCCGAATACAAGTCGGCGTGTCCGCTTCGACTGGGCTGGTGTCCTTCGAAGGGCTGAAAACAGGATTGTTGTTGCGATTCCTTGAAAACCGCTGCTGCCAGCAAGGCTATGGCAAAGGTTATCTTCATTTCGTCTAAAAACAAACGCGCACTTTACTTAAACGATATCGACGATATACTGAGGTAAACATAGAGAAAGTATTGAACATGACCCACATTAGGAAAGACTTTCTCATATATCGAAACGAATGGATTTCCAGTGACGTGGGATAATCTCTTTGCACGGAGGTTGGTGACTTATTATGTCTGATGACACAAGCGTTGCAGAAAGCGAATGTTATTTTTAAAACTTTCTTCGCAGCCTTTTGAAGAAAAAAATATGAAACTTACAATTTTATTAAAAAATTTTCAAATTTCAATATTTCAAAAATATGATGATATTTAGTTGATGCAAAAATTCGGAATTATTATATAAACTCTTAATAGTCTTATTCATACCTTATTAATACACTGCCTTCGAATTTCTTTTATTAATTTCGCACTTGTAAGTCGAGTTAATTTTATAAATTTTAATAACTTTATTAATAGTCTTTTGTAAGCTCCGTTTTGCGGTCTGAGATCACTACCACAACAATATCAGTCGCTGAATAATTTATTTAGAATGTAGATATTTAATAAAATATTTGGACGTAATTATAATTATCGCAATTAAGAAATACCCGCATTATAATTGGCTATACATTTTCTTATAATTAATGGGATAAAAAATTTAACCATTACAGCTAAAATGTATGTGAATTCCAAAGTATAAAAAAATGATTAGATTATATTACGGTTCAAAATTCTCCAAGCTAACATCAAGAATTAAATTACAAAACAAAAATAACTACTGGGTCATATAAGTGAGTAACTGTACTTGATTATTTCAACTGGGTATTTCCAGACATGGCCGAGTAGGTATGCTTAATACCTATAGAAAAAATATAATAGTTTATAACAGATCGATTAAAATTAATGTTCAAACGGACCTGTCCGAATCGAGATGGATGTTTTATTAATAGAAACTTCTTGTAAAAATTCTCAGCAAAAAATGTGGGTAACCCTGGTAGAGGTCGCGGATTTGTTAATATCAACGCAACAAACCGATGTTACTCGAGGTATTTCTATTTAATAATTTGTGATTTGAATAAAAAAATTTACACAATGCCGTATAAAAAACGGATGTATAGAGAATCATTCAATGGAAACGAAAGCGATTATGGAAACATTATAATAATTTTCGTACGTATAAACTGTACATATACGTACCATAATATTTGGTTTTTATTATTTATAAAACAAATTCTTAGTAAAATTGATGCAACTGACTGATAAGATAATTTTTAAGGAAATCACGTTTTGATGAGATCAGAACATAGTGCATCTAGAGAAATTGCAATAAATAAAAATAGAAAGTATAAGTAAGAATTATTTAATTCCTAAAATGGATAAAGCGGGAAGTCGTTCATATTTGAATTTACTTATTGGAAACATAAAAATAGTAGATTAGGTAGATAAATTAAAAATATTTAAAGAATTAAAAGATGCCTCTAATAACGATGTTAATGAAGTTAAAAATTAGAAATAAAAATGAAATCAACAATTGTTCAAACATATTAAGGATTGTATAGATACATAATGCAGAAAATTGTACCTATACCTGTTTTTTGAACTTCTCTATTTACTTTTTAATTTACTATACCTACAACTATTCCCAGTTTCCACTTATAAAATATAATGAAAATGCTCACTTTTTCCTAACAACTATCTTGGTAAAGGTATATTTTCGGTTGACTTGCTTGGAAGGTCAGGCACAATGTATAAGTAAAACGTTTTAAAATTTACCCTTTTCGTATCAACTTCCAGGTAAAATTTTTCTTTAAATATTGAACTGATCAGTTAATAATCTACCTTCCTAAAAACTGTTTTCCACTACTATTTCTATTTTATACATCTAGCTATCAAAAAATGTTGTTCGACAGGTATATCTACGATACCTAATATGTGTATACGTAGTATTTTTAAATTATACATAACTATAAAGAATTTTTACTAAAAATTTCATGCATAATTCGATGATAATTCTACAATAGTTATGCCGAATATGTTGAATAATATTAATTTCCCATTCTATAGTTGTGAATGTACGTATACACAAACCTCAATGATATTAATTGAAACTATTAAAATTTGATAATGTTAGAACTTACCTTGTTAATTTTGTGGAATACAACTTACTGCAAAGACTTCAGAATTCGTGTCACTCGATTACCATAGACACCGTCGTTACCTGTAGTAGACGACTAGGTTGAGTGTTGAATGGAATGGAATGGAGTAAACTAAACAGGTTTGTATTTATTGCATGGTGACGAATCAAAACAAATTGTTTTTAACAAAGGAAGTAGGATTGACCAGAGAGTGATTAGAGACGTAGGTATTCGATTTTAAAAGCAGTAGCCCATAGTTTCTTTGTACGAAAAATATTCTGTCCATTATTTAATAGTTTTGTCAGAAAAATATTTATACTTTGTATATATTATATACTTCAATAGTTTTTAAATATAAATTGGATTAATTATATGTATAAAATGCATACCCTGTCTAATTTTCAATATAAAATTTGGTTTGTGGTAAATGGTAAACAAGACTCAATTCGTATGTATATGTATGTGTGAGTAATCTACAACTTCATAAAAGTTTAACGACTTTATTTTCTTAATTTTCTGAGGCAATTGCAATTGTATGGTAATTTATGGCAGTTACATGAACAATGTAAATCATAATAAAAGAGGTTTAGCAGGAATTAATAATTAGGAACTAATTGAGTTTATACTTAATAGGTATATCTACATAAAAATTTCAAAAATCTGAACGTATTAATGATTTTACAAAATAGTTGTTTAAAAGACAACATGGTATTATAGTTACGACCTTATGAACTGCTGTTCATGCACTATGTTCATTTTTTATCTCAAAAATGTATCTCTAATTAATAATTTAATATAATTAATAATTTAACTTTACTATTCTATACTATTCCGTAATGCCAGGGAATACTACTAAAATAATCATTCTTTTTATTCCTATTGGTATATTTAAGGCCAGTGTTTAAGGAAGGGTTTTTCCGCAGAGATTTCGACAATGTAGAAGAAATCAGGAAAGGCAGGGATTCTCATTGTTATCGGATAATATTTTCGAAGATGAATTTTAGGAATTGAAACGAGTACCAAGGACGAGGCCATTAAAATAGGATAATTGTCGGTATTATATTGTTAAATAACAATAAAAGCCGCATTTTGATTTAAAATCTTTTGATGTTGCTGTTGATTTACAAATAATTTATTGCTTTTTTTCACAACGGATTATTAAAAAATTATTGGTATACAAGTAGAAGCTATGATTTAATAAATTCTGTTTAGTATTTACATACATATGAATACGTTTCAATTCTCCTTTTGTATTTCTTACAAAATGAACAAGCAGCCCTTAAATAAAAAAAACAAATTGAGTACCTATACTTAAATATTATTTAAGTTTTTTTGATCATTATTTGTTGAAATAAATATTCACTTAATATTTATAACATAATTATTAATTTATTATGCCCTCCATACCCAATTCCTCAAAAATTGTGCTCATAATGTGTGAAGGATAATTAATTCCTATTTTATAATTTAATGCACACATTATTTACTTAAATAGAAACATATAGTATGTGTTTACTTGGTATACAAATTTGGCGGACACTTACCACTTTAATATCTAATTTTACTAAATTTACTGTTGACTGTTTTAATGTTAAAAGGACATGTTTCATGAACCATGAAAGTAAATGAACTGCCTCAATTTGCATATACAGGGTGTCCCACGACGAGTTAAAAATATGGGAAAGATATGGGAAACTACTTATCCGATTTAAATAATATTTGGTATACATAGGGAAGTAAACATGAACATCCCTTATTTTTGACCGCTGATTTCATTAAAATAGAGAAAACTGGGTGGTTCCATTTAAAACAATGAAGAAATTTTATATTTTTGATGCTCAACTTTGTACAATTTTTATACACACTCTGTATAAAATAAAAAAATTTTCAAGACAGGTTTAAATACCTTTGACCTTTCTAGTGGCCACCCTACAGAAACCGTTTTCATATCTTTAAGAGGATTCCCGTAAAAAAGATTTTATAAGAGTCTGCCTCGGTAAAATTAAAAAAAAATTAATAACTCAAAAAGTATGCATTTTTGAAAAAAGTGTTTTAGACAAAAGTACCCTAAAATTTTACGTAGATTTCGAAAATATATTAATATACATGGTGTCCTATTTTAAATAACAAAATTGATGTCAATTTCCGGTATATTCGGAAGTGTACGACTGTCTGTGTATTTTTAAGAGGTTCGACTTATTGCATAACATAAACATACCAAATAGTATTTAAATCGGATAAGTAGTTTCCTATATACAGATAGTTTTAACTCGTCGTGGGATACCCTGTATACTGTTTCAATTTTACGAAATTTGTGTCACAAAATGTGGAAACAAAAGAGTCAGGTGATTGATTATAAATTATTGTTTCAATTGCATTTTGTATTGAATTTTTTTACATCATTTATTTTTATCTATTTATTGATTGAATAGTGGATAGATAAATTATAACTTTCAATTAAAGGTACTTGCAAAATGAAGGGATCCACTATTAGATAAAATATTTTTATTGTAAAAAGTATACAAAACTCTGCAAAAACATGGCACTTTGGTTGGTAACTGTAAGGCAATATTTGGCGTATTAAAAATTAAAAAATTAAAATCTAAATGGCACTTAAATTCACAAAATCATGTACATTGTTTTAGATGCTTGCAATTTGTACAGTGTATATTATATTGAATATAATCTTAGACATTATGTATTACAACTTAAATATATATTACAAAAAGGATATTACCTAAAAGTAATGAGTATCCAATTTTCCTGCAGAAATTATTAAATAACATCCATACGAAATATTAGTAATCGTATATAACATATATTTCCAAAGTGTTTGAAAAAAAACTATGTAACTCAAAACATTTACCTATTCCTATAATACATTTCTCTAAAAAAATTATATATGTACATTATTTTGACTACACAGCTCGCCAGAAAAAAATATTTACACGTTAAAATTTTGCTAAAAATAATGTCTATTAACGATTTTAGCTAATTCCGAAAAGGGGGTAAAGTAACGTAGGTTTGATTCCCATTATTGGGCTCCGTTTTCAGTTCTTTGAGTCTCCCGTCCTCCTGGAAAGCGTGCTCGTGCTTCGGCGAACCGTTCTCGTACCAATCAGGCGACTGATTCAGCGCAGCATTGTGATCCACGTAAACGATTCTATCGCCTATGGAATTATCATCGGCGTTCGGAGAGTGAGTTTGGAGCATGGAATACTCCCGGCTAATGGGAGGACTCTGGCTAGGAGGAGCCGCCGTGTATTCGTGGGAGCGCATCGGAGCGCTGAATAGCTGGCTGTCGTGGGAGTTCAGCAGATACGAGTAGCTGTTCTGGGTGGACCCGAAGCTGGAATACGAAGCCGGCGATCCGAAGCTCGAGTACGATCCGTTCGTACTGTTAAGTAAATTTATATGGGAATTTAAGTCGTACGAGGACTGATAGTTCCAAGTGTCCGCCGGAGCAGACGTTGGTAGAGTGCTAGCTTGGGTAAATGGAATTGTGTTGGTGTAATTGGGGGCTACGACGCTGGGACTGGGCGAAGCGGTGGTTATGTAGCCGGTTTTTCTCGGCGGCTCACGCTTTCTCCATTTAGCTCTTCGGTTTTGGAACCATACTTGTACCCTAGATTCGCTGAGATTCAATTTTAGCGCTAGCTCTTCTCGGGCGAACACGTCTGGATAAGGCGCTCTTTCGAAAGCTCGTTCTAGCTCTTCTAATTGGAAGGCAGTAAAAGTAGTCCTGAAATGAACAATGAATGAATAAATAAAAGGTCATGTAAATTGCAATTCAATTAAGATAATTTTATTAGCAGTTAACTTACTTCTATACATCGAATAATTTTTCAATATTAAAAAATGTATAAAAGCATTTACCACAACAGGCCAATACCAGGAATTTGAAGCACTTATGCAAATTTAAATTTTGCATCTACTATTTTATACTTCACATTTTCTCTATTTACCCATGTTACATGGTTTTATTTAATTGCTATGCAAATTGGTTAGAACAATAGACAATTATTTAGATGAAGTTAGGGTCTACAAAATGAATTTACTAATTGCATTCAAACAAATTCCGTCGATCCCTCGAAAAGTGAAGTTATTTTAACGCGGCATTTGTTTTGCTAGGGGCTTGTTTTGTTGTATAACCATATGTCTATCGAGCGAGACCATCATCTATGTAAAATTTTAAGCTTTGTATTAATTAGGTAGCTTTTTTTATTTTTTTAGCGCGTGGATACGTGAATCGCTAAAAATGAATGGGGGAGATTAATTACTGCACTCTTGCAGCAGAATTGTTATAGCGGCATATGTACGATAAAATTGATGATAAGGAAATTATTCGGTAAATTAATTATTAATTAAGCGATTGTAACACATTATGTAAATGCCTCCATTTTTAGCAAAATTATTGAGTTTACATCTGATGATTAGATTTTTTTATCTACATCTTTTTTAATGTACCTAATTATTTTAGATTAAAAACTTTAGATAAAACTACAAAATATTGCGTAATGTAAAATCATTAGGAATTATTTTATTCTTAATTTTATCCTATTATAAAATTTTGACTATTTTTTAAATAGCTTAAATACTTTAGGATGTGAATCTTTGGATGATTTTAAAAAGAAATGTTTATAGCAATATAAATGTCCTAAACCTCTTAGTTTTTGAGCTGCAGGTGTTAGAATTTTAGAAAAATTTTTTTTTTCTATCATAATTTTCTTGTTACCTACTCCGAACATTTTTTAAGTTTTAAAACTTCATTTCGTATAGATACATATTAGAGAAGAAATATTTTAAAAATTTCGTTTTTTCTGTCTCCTGCAAATGTAAAATTAATGAAATGGATTCAGCTACCTAATATAGATAATGAAATAGTAATTAGGTAAAGAAATTACCTAAGTATATTACATGTAAGTTCTTAGTAGTGATTGAAATATGTAAAAATCAATCGTTCTACACTGATAGTCAACGCACTAAAAAGATATTTAACGCAGGTATTAATACCTAACTACCGTATTAGTACCTAACTTTTAAAACTAAATCCTGATTTTATACTAAGTTAATGATAAAGTTATTTACTTCTATTCAGAAAAAATACTTTTAATTTAATTTTCTCAAAAAGGCACTTAGAACAGTCACAAATCTTTGAAATTATTAAAAAATTAGGAGCAGTGTCTAGATTTACCAGGAATTGTTCTAATCATCTGAAGTAGCAGGAAATATGACTAAACTGATATCTTACCTGGTTTTCTTCTTCTTAACTCCATTATCGTTTTTCTTCTTTTCATTTTTCTTCGTGGACGTAGTTTGCGAACTCCCAATTTCAGTGGAACTTAAATTTTGCGATTGAAGCAACACGACGTCTTCGGTTTTAATTTTAGCACTGTTAGCGTTATTATTAATATTTTCCATACCGGGCGAGTACATTCCTAAATCCTGGTGTATCGGCGAACCGTCCAATTTCTGCGGGGATCCTTTGTACTCCATCGGCGATCCCATGTTACCGAACATGTCGTGCTGTTGCTGCAACCCCAACATCACCTGTATGGAATGCACGTTTAGATTTTCCTGGTTTTTGTTAAGCAGCGTCGAGGCGAGGGATGGCAACGGTTGATTATTGAAATCATTAAAACTTTGATCGTCAAAAGGCGCACCTTCCATATTAATTGATCGAAACAATCAGAGCAATCTATTTCAATTTACCCGATAATTTTTTAATGAAACAATTGCGACGAGCTTCAGTTAAGCACATAAACTGACTTCTGACATTATTATTTTAGTCAATTTATATTTAACAAGCTCAATTGAAGCTCGGGATTTCGGCCAATGGAAGTCCTGCGTTTCAAAGTAGAAAGACTCTTTATTGGCTGGACGCGTGATAGGGATGTGGCTTGCGCCTTGTAAGGGCGTTATGGCATAGAGATCGAATGCGATGATAAGGGCGCCGCAGATTCTATTGTTCGGTTTGTTATATATCGTTTCTTTTCGACGATGCCATATAGATGGTGGTCACGTGGATGCCCTTCCATGTGGGTTTCTTTTAATTGGATTTTTTCTTGTGGGAATTTTATATTTTAAATGCTGGTCATATAGTTAAAGCCTTCATCGAATGTATAAAGCAAATTTAAATTTACTTTCTACCAACTTAAATGTTGAGTACAGAAATTTTTATTTCAAAATCTATCATCCGAAGAAAAATAAAGGGTGTTTCAATAAGACCGCAAGATTTGAATTGCCTGTCATATTTGACAGTCATAATAATACGTGATTATAACATGATAGATCCTAAGTTGACAGTGACAGTTGACACCATAAAAACTGCATAGCTTCCGTAGAAGATTCAGAGAAAGTTTCCTTTACATTAACTTTAGTTCCAGTATTTCCAACATTGTATCAACATTAACTTTAGGTCATGTTACATATTTAAGTAATGTTTGAATTAAACATTTCAAAATTGTATGCATCTATTGCCTTTGCAACAATATTTTTTAATTCAATTGTAAACAACTGATATCCTTAGAAACAAATTTAAAATACAAAAGAGAGTTAACAACTTTACCGATGATAATAAATTACTCCCTATAATTCAAAACTTACACAAAATAAATGACATTATATTTACGTCATATTTCGCACAAACACGCACACATACCACATCTCCATTCAATGTCAAAGTTCACAGATAGCTAACAAATCACTGTAACAAAAATTTACAACGGTTCAAATCACCACTCGGTATCGATACGTTACATCCCTTATGAGAGCGAACCCGTAACTGAACAAATTAAAAGAATTAACAGATATAATATGTCAATTAAGCTATTCATAAACAATATGATGATGAAGTTAACGAATCTTAAAAGGCAGGCGCACGCATTTGCCTCAATCACCCATAAGTGAATTTATCAATTTACCCAATTTTTCCCTATTAGCGACAATGACTATTAGTGCAGCCATTAGTATATTAGTTTAACCAGTCCAGATTCTTTAATGCAATTCACTCCAATATTGTCCAATTGTTGCTATTAAAACATTTTACACACTTAATGTACCAGTCAAATATAGGCCTCCATTGTAGAGGGTTGTGTTTTTTCAATTTGGTATCGAATTTTTCGCAATACTTATTTTTGTATTCTCGCGGAAAGTGCGTGATTTTGGTGAGTCTGTGAACGGTGAAATTTTTGTGATGATATATTTTGTGAAAGTGCGTTCTTTTTGATGATACTGTTTAAGTACTTTTATTTTTTTTTTAGAACAGTTAAGGTTCATTTTATTTACTTTTCTAACTAATCAATCAATCACTGATGGACCATTTTTGGTTTTGTATCTTACGATTAGTTTCTGACAATATATACAATTTTATTTTTGAGTAGGTAGGCTTTTAATTTCGAATTAAATTAATTCTCTCCTATGCATCATCCCCACTCAATAGAGTTTACTCGTGAATTTAAATTAATTAATAAAGTAGCGGCGCCGGCAAACTATGTATGTATGTGATGTGAAATGGCTAGAATCTTTTATGCATTATTTTTGTATGAATTAGGTTACAGGAAGACAAATAAGTCCAAAACAAGATCAAAAAGCATATGCCCTTGGTGTATTCAGCTATTTCAGTTGAACTGTAGCTAGATTCATAGTAACTTGTGGTATTTTTTAGTTATTTATTTTAGTCATTATTTATCTACCTATATTTATCCAGTTTACAATTATGTAACCATACATCAATAAAATGTTAAATTAGAATTAACACCAGCATTACGCGATTCCCAAAACAGTAATTTTTACTGAACTCGAGTGGATATTCCGTGTCATCATTTGCTTGAATTCCAAAAAATCAATTACGCACACCGCCAAGGCTATTTTAATGGAGCTTATACCATCAGAGGACCGCTTACTTGATAAAGATGCAACGGTGAATTTTCCGTTTCCTGGTTTAAATTACTTAATTGCATATAATACCAAATGTGCATTTTTAAATTACGCTAATTTTTAACGAATTTTCATTTACTCTTTGTATAAACAAACTTATAAATAATGGCCCGTTTTTACACAACTGGGTTTTTCTATAATTAATTATTGTTTATGGATTTATATGGATTTACATGAGGAAGATAGAAGTAGCCCAAAATAACGCAAACATTTAGAAGATCAGTGAATGAAAAAATATCCACTATAACTTATTCATTATTTAAATTTATAAGTTTAAGTTAATAAAACCTGCAAAAATTTTAATTGCAAAATAGTATATTCAATAAGACGTATACCTTACATGCTAATTTTTGAATATACCTACTTAGGTAATACTAAGAGCTTGCGTCTTAGGAAAAGCCGACACTTTTAAATTCGCTCAACAATATTCCATGTTGTGATATTCTAACTAAATTTCATAAATATGTATATCTGGCATAATAAGAAAATTATGATAGAAAAGTTATTTTTTTTTCTAAAACTATAACACCCCGTAGCTCGAAAACTAAGAGGTTTAGGACATAATTGGCATAAAGTTTTCTTCTTAAAATCATCCAAATATTCACATCCTGAAGTATCAACGTGCACTCAATTAATTAACACCCTGTGCACACCTTGTTCATTTCAGTTTGTAATATGGTCATTTCTATGAGTTGAATAAAGAAAGGTTATTAAAATAGCAGTTGTTGAAATAGTTGCAATAACACAATATTACTCTTTCTTTTTCTTTTGATAAGTGTCTAATGGACGTTGTCTTGTACAAAATATTGTACAATAGTCCTATGTACAAAAGTTTAACTTTTGAAAAAAAAGGTTTTTTTAACTTTCCATAAAACAACTCTTTACAAGGTGGTCCATTGAACAGGAAACAGAGGTCTTTTCGGATGGAAAAAATTGATTTTTGGAGAATCGCTCAGGCACGTCAATTTTTATTTCGAGGGGCACATCTTTTGATGTACAAAACCATCATCATCATTATGTTTTACCCCTTTGCCCAGTAACCCTAACCCTTAATGAAATAAGGGTATAAGTGTAAATAAAGTGTAATAAGGAAATAAGTGTAATACAACATTAGAAAGGTTATTTTTTCTGATAACAAAAAAAAATTAAAACCTGTCGATTCGTTTTTGAAATATTTACCGTTAAAGATTTTCTCAATTTCTCTCAATTTGGAGTAGTAGGTACCATGTTAACTTAAGTAACACCTGTACAGAAGCAACTAGATAATACCAGGATATTATAAAATTCAATATTTGAACTTTTATTAAATTGAAGTATTTATGATTAATCCCCCCCCCCCCCCCCCGATATAAAAATTGTGATAAATATGCGATAAAAATGGCCTGAGCGATTTTCCAAAAATCAATTTCTTCTACCCGAAAACATCTCTGTTTCCTTTTGAGTGGGTCACCTTATATAAAAAAGTATCAATATAAAAAATTAAATTAGAGGTAGGTAATTTCTTAAAAGAGTTCTAAGGGGCTAAAATTTTAATAGAGCGAAGAAAATGCAATTTATACCATTTGAAACATTTTCATTCTCCGAGAGGAAGGTAAACGTACAAACACTAAAAAATATATAGTTAGAATCAGACACTTGTTGCGAAGCTGTATCGTCTCTCCAATTAGGTCCAATTAAGATCCCATTAGATTCAATTTACTTTAACTCGCTCAATTGATGGTGGCGTAGGGGTCACATGTACCAACAGTGTCATCTATGCGGGACATGCAATCATCACATTCAACTTGGACACTTCAAACGGAAAAAAAAATCGAAACTCCGCTTTCGACCCACTCTTTTTTCTGTTGTGAAATAGAAACGTACACTCTGCGGCGTCGTTGACGCAAGGAAGTACATTCGGCGTAATAAATTTTAATTATTCTCGCCGATCTAAAATAAGATACAAAGGAACACCTAATATTTGTATGAGCTGGAATATTTCAGACAAACAAAAGCTGTACAGTTATTGTCATCAAATTACCAAATACCCTACAAACACCAACAATAAATATGAAACGTTTTTTTATCTCCTTAAAAGTGCATAAACCTGGAATGAAAATTTTTGAATAACTGTTACATCAATTGTGCACAAACCCTATAAAAAGTAAATGAATTAACATAAGCGCTCTCGAAACGCCATACAAACGTGCGTTTTTTCCAATTATGTAAAATTTATCATTGTTAACATAGCGACAGTTTTACTGATCTCCAATTTAGATGTCTGATAAAAGTGACTGCATAATAACTTTACTACCACCATGATCACCATATGTTATTCGAGTGCTCTCATGGGTTTTCGAAGAGGGTGTCGAGATCAATGCCTAAAAGCTTATTGCGAGGGGTGACTTTCCGGCGATTATGAGGGTAGAGCACGCGTCCGAAGACCACTTGCCTAAGAAATATTTAGGAGCGATTCGGTACCTACCGCGGGCTCGATTTCACGTTACATGCGGGATTCCCACGTAAGTATGTAGGTGATTTGTTGGTGGGAAAGTAAACGAAATTATTTTATTAGTGGACATTGTAGTGCTATTTATATAGCCAATTATTTATCCATTGATTTATTTCTGAAATGCCGATTTTTTTTATAATTTTTATATATCTGGAGTCTGGAGATCTAGAGTTTTGTCGAGTTATCCTTTCTTTTTGATTTAGCAATTTAAGTTATTACAACTTGTATTTTATCAGTAAAATTAGTTATTTTGACCTATATAAACAATAGAAAATTACCTAATTGCTCGATAAATTACAGGTTGTAATAACCATATAAACTTAATACATCATATGGGTGATTATCAGTTATCTCTGTTGTCTTCCGTTATTACCACTGCTTTATATTGGCATAGTACGAAATTCGGGGCCCCACCAAAAAACCCGCCTAAATTCTACATAGGGCTCGCTATACAGGGTGTCCCAATGAAAATCATGCGTGGTTTTCGCAGAGATATTTGTTATTTTTTTTAAGTTTTGTTATAGTTATACAATTATGCATTACCAGTACAGAGTGTTTTATCGAAATCTCGTTTAAATTCACATATATGGTGTTAATTAATTAAAACCCATACTTTATATCAAATATTGATATAAATTTTCTTCTTAAAATAATCCAAATATTCGCATCCTGAAGTATCGGCATTCAATTAATTAACACCCTGTATGTAGAGAGATACTCACATATTTTAAAAGATATACTCACATACCTCTACATACAGGATGTTAATTAATTGAATGCCGATACTTCAGGATGAGAATATTTGGATGATTTTAAGAAGAATATTTATATCAATATTTGATTTAAAGTATGGGATTCAGTTAATTAACACCCTATCTGTGAATTTAAACGAGATTTCGATAAAACACTCTGTACTGGTAATGCATAATTGTATAACTATAACAATATACTCATAGAGAAAATAAAACACCTTTCTTTCTCTATGGATATACTCTTCTACTTTTCAAAAATGTGTTATTTGTATACATTTCAGTCTACCAAAGAAGATGTCCTGTTTTAAAAAATTTGGTTATTGTGAACTGAAAAAAGTGATTTTTCATAAAGCACCCTATATAGGTGACCCAAAATTTCTGTGTCACTGTAACAAAAAATTATAAAAGAATAAAACATATCTGCGAAAACCGCATGTTTGTATGTTTAGCCGTTTAAAAATTATTAGTTGATTAAATGGGCTACTTTTCATTGTTACACCCTGTAATCTAACACAATAATTTTTATGATTGATTTACCACTGATTTCTTGGCCAAATACCCGAATGGTGTAGATAATTTGAGAAAAAAGAAGAAGTCATATTTGACTTTGACGGTGACCGGTGACATGACATATGACATTAAACAAACTCTTACTTCAGAGCGTAAATCTAACCTAATAAAACGATTATACGAAAATTAAGTATTATATCACAATAAAAATTGTTTTTTAACATAATAATTAAGAAATTTAAGCATGCCTTTATCGGAATATATCTCAGCTCTCTCTGACAACCCGTATTTCGGCGCTGGATTCGGACTTTTCGGCGTTGGCGCTGGAGCTGCGCTGTTACGAAAGGGATTTCAAACGTCGCTCATATTATTTAGAAGACATTACATGATAACTTTAGAAGTTCCGTGTAGAGACAAATCGTACCAATGGCTGTTGCAATGGATGACGACGAAAGGGGCCAGGCAAACCCAACATTTGAGCGTCGAAACCAGTTTCGAGCAGAAAGACAGTGGGCATATTAAGACCAAATACGATTTCATTCCCAGTATAGGAACACATTTTTTCCGGTAGGGATTCTTATATGGTATATGAAGGTATGAATTTGTAATTGTAGTACTTTCGAATTATTTGAATTGCCTTTTATTTAAATTATTTTTCCTAATACATTTGAGTGTAGTATTATGAATGTATAAGAGTAGATTCAGTAGTTATTATGTTATTAAAAATAGCATTTTACTTTACTTTTAGATATGGAAGTACATGGATCAGAGTTGAAAGGACTAGAGAACAACACACCCTAGATTTACATATGGGAACACCATGGGAAACAGTGCAATTAACCGCGTTTGGAAGAAATAAACAACTATTTTTTACAATTTTAGAAGATGGTAAGTTGTGCTTTTAGTAAAAATAAAGTTAGCATCAATATATACGAAGGATGTTCTCAAAGTTCCAGGAATTTTGCTTTAATTAATTTATGCAGAACTTATGAGCATTGTTATTGGAGACAGACAAGTCTTGACTTGTTTATGCAACTATGCTGTGCAACATAGTTCAGGCTGATACAGATATTCGACTGATATAGACGAGTTTTCATAGCACTGTTTTTGTAACCATGAAAGTCGCAGCAAAATCTTAAAGAGCAATAAATTTAAAATAACGCAAAAATGTTACTTTTGTGTTTGGATCCACACTGAAAGCAGTATGATTAAAATTGAAGAAAAATATTTATTTTGTTCATTTTCAGGATATTTACAATGATGTGAAACCTGAAATTTATTTCCAAGTCAATCCATTTAGTTTCTACAAAGTGGTAAACTTAATACGATTTTCGTGGAAAAGTGGTCATCACTTTTAAACCACTCAGTATAACTTTATACAATATTATATTTTTGGAAAGCTGAAAACGACCTTAATATAATTTTTGAATAAAAAACAGGGTATTAAGAAAAAGTTATAAATTTGTTAAAAGTTATAAAGTTATTAAATTTTTAACACTCTTAATAAATGTAACTGAGTTATAAAATATGCATCTTAAAAAAATATACAACTTTTGTAACAAAGTTTTTTTGATATTTTCTACAATAACAAATATATTGAGCTTTTCCACACTAATGTGTCACCTTGTATATCAGTTGAACACCTTTATCAGATTGAACAATGTTGCATAAATATGTCAAGACATGTCTGTCACCAATAACATTGCCTATAAGCTGCGTAATTTAATTGGAGCACCCAGAACATTGGAAACTCACCCAGTCCCCAGTATATTAAATCTATACTATTTTTTTGTTTGATGTAAAAATAATGTACTAAATACGAAATATTTTCAAATAGCTAGACAAATGGCATTAGAACAGCACGAAGGAAAAACAATAATGTACACAGCTTTGGGCAGTGAATGGAGACCGTTAGGGCATCCTCGAAGGAAGAGGCCAATTTCGTCTGTTGTTCTTGATAAAGGAATAAGCGACAGGATATTGAAAGATTGCGAAGAATTCATTCAAAATCCTTCATGGTATATCGATCGAGGAATTCCATATAGAAGAGGTAATATATTATTGAATATAGAGAATGTCCTGCATAAGAACCAACATGGAGAATAAGGGGTGTGTAGGGAAGCTTAAAATATGTTGTTAAACCCATTTTAGTTTAATACAAAGTCATATTTATGAGAAGTTCAAGGCCTTCTCAAGGATGATTTAAAAATTATTAGTTATCAATGTTATTTAAAATCGTCGTTAATTCAAAAGTTGGTTGTATTAAGTTAAAATTAGGTTAAACAACATTTTTTTACAGTGTTGGTTTTTATTCAAAACATCCTGTATATAGTTTTTATAGTTATAAATATAGCTTGGGCGCTCCAGAATTATTTAGAACTGTCTAGAATCATTTAGAACAATCCAGATTTATTCTCTGGAATACTCTCGCTAATCTCGCTAATCTCGATAATCAAACTCTCTAAAACAATCTAGAGCGCTTCAAAAACATTTAAAATTATCTAGAATCATTTAGAACGTTTCAGAATTTTTTAGAATGCTCCATAGTCATTTAGAACGCTCTAGATTCGTTTAGAACTGTCTAGAACCATTTAAAACGCTTTAGAAGCATTTAGACCACTCCAGAACCGTTAACAACACTCCAGAATGATGTAGAATGCTCCAGAATAATTGAAAACTGTCTAGAACCAGAATGTTTCAAACCGTTCAGAACACTATTTTTAAGAGATTAGGTATTCCTTTTAATTAGCCGAATTTATTAGGTTTTTAACGTATTTTAATTATTTATTGGCAAAATGTATTAAAAAATGCAAAATTTCATTGCATTTGCATTTTGAATTTTTGTGGGAGTATGCACTTACATGCATATTTTCCAGGCTCTATTTTCAAATAATACTAATATGTAATGATTTTGATTGCAGGATATCTTCTGTTTGGTCCTCCCGGTTGCGGCAAATCGTCTTACATAACAGCTTTGGCAGGAGAGTTGGGTTTTTCCATATGCATTTTGAATTTATCCGAAAGGAGCCTTTCAGATGATAGACTGAATCACTTGTTAAGCGTAGCACCTCAACAGAGCATAATACTATTAGAAGACATTGACGCTGCGTTTATTTCAAGAGAGGACACCGTCCAACAGAAGGCTGCTTACGAAGGTTTAAATCGAGTAACCTTTAGTGGTTTATTAAATTGCTTGGACGGAGTTGCGAGTACCGAAGCTAGAATTGTTTTTATGACCACAAATTACATTCAAAGGTACTTTTCACTTTACATAATTTCACGAAAGAGAGTTAATGCTACCTGTCCATTTGAGAGTTTTCCTGAGAGCAACTCTCGAGAGTTACTCTCAGGCCTTCGTCCATTTGAGAGCAAACTCGCAAATTTTTACTCTTTGAGAATGTCCAAAATGATAGTTGCGAGTTTTATAAAATTAGTACTCTCAGAGCCGTGTCGACTAGGTTTTTGCTGAGAGTTTTGTGAAGTACAGTTTTTAACGTTTTTAGCAACTTTTTAACAGATTAAATTACTTTTATTAAAAATCTATTTACTAATCATAATGAATGCCATATTTAACATTTTTTTTGTTGAATTATATTACTGAAATATATTTTTTTACTTTAACATTTTTAAGTAGTATAATAACTAATATAGAGATTTATGTTGAAATAGGATCCATTAAAAAGGTGCTGTAAAATTAATTTCAAAATTGTATAAATGCCAAAAATTAAGATTTATCTCCAAAAATGTGGGTTTTATAGAAAATTACAAAGAGTTTAAAATTATTTTAAATAAGCCAATAAATCTAGTTTCGATTCAAAAATTAGGTAAATATTATGGGCGGAAGAATCGGGGCTTTAAGGACCCCCGATACATCTGAGACGGATTGATAATTAAATATAAATATTCATTATACAGCATTTGTCACCAAGCAAATATTCTGTACAACTATTCACGGAAAAAAATTGAGCAATTCTGGCCGAATATCAAAAGAAACCTCCTTTTTACTTTTAACTTTATAACTTTGTAATTTTTAACAAATACATATTAAAATATCCTTTCAAGAGTAGTAAAGGAACTATAAGGGTAATTAAATAAACGATAGATATATGGCTGATCTTTTACTTATTTATTTATGTACTCTCGAGGGTTTTTTTTCTCAAATGGACACCTAGCATTATTAAGCATGCTATTGAGTAAAAACAACACAATTTATGATTGATTTTTTAGGTTGGATCCGGCTCTGATTAGACCCGGTAGGGTGGACATGCAAGAATATATAGGTTGGTGTACGCAAGATCAAATAGAACAAATGTATTTGAGGTTTTATGACGAACCGGATGCCGCAGAACATGCGAAATTATTTGCCGAGAAAGTTGCACAGCTCGAGACAAACATGAGTCCGGCACAAATTCAAGGTTATTTTATGGTTCACAAGCATTCTGAGTTCAAAGATGTGATGGCTAATTGCGAGAAACTGCGCCGAGAAACAAGGAGAGCGTGAAGTTTTTGATTTATTACGTTTAAATAAGACATTATTTTGCGAATGGAAATCTGTAAGTTGATATAATATAATGCGTAGTTAATGTTAAAGGAGTCGGTAATTATTTTTTTAACGGTTGTTTCTGTTTTTCCGCGCTCTTTTTCTGTTTCTTTTCTTTCTTTTTTCTAAATCGGCCGAAGCCCTTTCTGACCATGGTGCCTTTCCACCAAGCCTGGATCTTTATGGCAGCGTTATTAATTCTCTCCTTTTCCAATCTAATTTTTTCTTGTTCGATTTTGTATTTTTCCCAATCCTGGATTTCCTGTTTGCGCTTGTCATGCTAAAATTACATTCCATAAAAGTTCAATGAAATATTTATCTTATACAGGGTGTCGCGTACAAGAACGAACACATAGCGTGGGCTTATAAGGTAACCTAAAAAATGTTTTTAACCCAACTTTAACTTAATACAGCCAACTTTTGAATTGTCGACGATTTCAAGTAACATTAATTAAGTACATGACTTTATTTTTTAGCGTTTTTCATCAAAACGAGAAAGAATTGTAAAAAACAAAAATAAAAAAGTTTTAAAATGATTTATCATTTTAGCATCATCATGATAGCATCATGGGAGCATCATCCATGATGAACCCTTAAAATACATCAATTGATCTCCTAATTATCGATTAATACTCCTAGTACACTCATAACGTACACCAAATTTAGTTTTAAGTTTGAGTATTACTGAGATATTATAATTTTTTATTTGTAACTACAGTTTGAAGGCCTATAACATCTCAGGAATGTAACTTTCTATTGGGTTAAACAACATATTTTTGGCTCCCCTACACTCCTTTGCTTTGTGTCGGTCTCTTTGCGGACACCCTTTAAAATTTATTAATTTTTTAATAAGCAGCAAGTTCTTATACATTACATTCGCTTGTACTTGAAGTAAATGCTTAATTTCGTAGTTTTTACTTTATAAAATTATAGCATTTACTCCACATAATTCTTAAAGTTAGACTAAAATAAGTACTATAAGGAGCAATTACTTCATACTTTGCTTTATTTAAGCTCTTTATAAAAGCTCTTACTTGAAGTACAAGCAAATACTCCTTTTAATCATACCACTCTTTACCTTAGCCTTCAAATTTTCTAGTTCATTTAATTGTTCATTTTGTTTTTCACGAAGAATATTAATTTTCTCTGTCATTGATTTCATTGATTCGTCATACTTCCTCTCCCAATCTACGATTTGCTCCTGTAGTTCCTAAAATAATATTGAAGATTCTATTTAAAAAGATTTATTAATGAAATTTATAAATTTATTTATTAAGATTTATAAATTAAAAAGATTTATAAATGAAAATAATGTACTTACTTGTTGTATTTCGGTTACAGCTTTCATAAAATCTCCATGAACTTGGTTTTCTATGTCTATTTTAGACTTGTATTGCTGGATTTTTTCTTCTATTTTTTGCAATTCGCTCGATAGTACAACGTTTCTCATTTCGATTTTTGAATTTTGCCATGATTTAACATAAGCCAGTTTGATTTTACTTTCAATGCATAAATTCTACAAATAATGATATTAGATTACCTGAAACAATTTGGAAAAAGCAACGCATTGTTACTTCTATTTCGTCTTTAATTCTTCCAATTTCTTCCATTGAATTGACTATTTTATCCACTGATTCATTTTTGTCGTTTTCTATAGCAAGTTGCAGTTCATTTACTTCAGATTGCTTGTTTGCAACGGTTTCCAGAAGGATTTTTTCGTCGCTATCCATTTGAATGAGAACGCTTATATTCTTTATGAATTTATCAAAGGATTGTTCTTTCTCCAATTCTTCTAATAGATTATTAAATATTGTCTCCAGAAAACCATAAGCGGGTATAGTACTTGTACCTTCTCCATCGTGATCAATTAATCCACCAAATCTCTCATCTAGGGATTTGTAAATAAGGTCTTTAATATCATAATTTGTCCAACTGTGAGACTGTTTCAAGTCCTCTAAAGAAGTTACTACTTCTTTAATCACGTTTTCCAACAAACGCAAAGAAATTTCTTTGGGAAATTCGACGGTATTTTTAATCTCGTCTTCATTCATAATGCACCTACTGTAGTGAAAACTTGTGATACTTTTGCACCAAAAACTGTGTAACTAAGTAAGAGTGTTAGATCGATATTTACACGAATTCATCATATAAACAGTAAGGTCGATGTGGGTTAAGGATTATACTAAGAATAATACAAACTATATTTTTTTATAAAATATTTTATTGCAAAACAATGTACAAAGTTTTGTTGACCTAACTTAAGACTTATTGCAAAACAACGTTCATAGTTTCGTTGTACTTATCTATTAAATTCTGTAAGGTTTCTTTCATAAATTTGGCAATCATTTTCATAGTTTTTCCACCGAAATGGGTTTGAAGAGCTATTGTCATAGAGTTTGTTACTGAATCAACGGTAGGAATATCGGTGTACTTCATATCAACACACCTGAAATTTATACAAGCATTTATTGTAAATATTATATTTTTTCGCAAATGAATAGATACTGCAGGTGTTCGATAATTTTATTTATCTTTTCATAATAAATTTGAAGATACGTTATCTATCTCGTTAAAGAAATTGTTTTAAAAATTGTCTAGACTTTCTAGAAAGCCCTATTGTTCTCGTAGGTATTTGTTTGCAAAATATGTTTGATATAATAAACTTACCCTGATTTTACAACATTGTATTGATCAAGAAAACCTTCGTAAGAGTTGAAATCTAAACTTATCAAGGCATTAATTTTAATATTTTTAACGTTCCCGGTTACGCTTCCGTGAATATTAATAAAAAATACTTCAGTATGGTAATCGTAGATAAACTGAAATGTAAAAATTATTCCATATGCCATTCTTACATTAAATATTTTTATTAAGCACCTATTTAGATAATATTGTTTTTAAGATTTTAATTTCTGATTGTGTGTAAAGATATGTTTCTCATTTATTAATTACTTAATTGTAAAAAGCATAAAATCAATTTTTTTAAATTGAAATTAATCACTTTTCCAAATGTATTTTTTGTAAGTTAGGTAAATTTACGAAAATAAATTATAAGTATAGATAAAATGATGAAAACAAAACAAGATAAATTTTTTAACAATTTAAAATTCATGTTTATAAAATACAGGGTGTTAATTAATAAGTACGACAAACTTCAGGGGTGATTCTGCATGAAAAAATAATGATATTTTGCTATACAGGGTGTCCCTGAAAGTGTGGGAAATCTCTCGGATCCATATAGAACCATATCTACACTGTGTCTATGTTCGAGCGCTACATTCGTCCGCAGATTCATCGCGCCGAAGCCGCGCCTCTCCACAGTTCGACTGATTCTCTCTTTCTACTGTTTGCAGCGCTCGAACATAGACACTCTGTATATATTTTGTGAGGCCCTTACTAGTCGTAGTCGTAGGCCCATCATATTAAATTTTTGTAAATTTTATAATTGTTTAATTATATCAAATACTTTAGAAGATATTTATGGAAAACCTATTTCCAGTGGCGCCCTTCTGGGACTCATATCTTCGGAAAAATTTTTATAGGAACTTCTCATCTTATTTTTTCATGTTCTGTATGGATCCGAGAGATTTCCCACACTTTCGGAGACACCCTGTATAAACATATGTCCGCAATTGGTTCGTTTTCGAGATACGGTTTGTTAAAGTTTCTTCAAACACATAAGAGACTTTTTTTGTCACAAATTCTGAACGAGAAATTCATTCATAATTGAATTTTAATAAAAATGCCGTACAAATATTTTTTTCTTTAAAGAAGTATGTGCGTCAATGATGAAAATAAAATTTTTAATTTTATGTCAAAAAATCCGTAATAGTTACCTCTCAAAACCTAACAAATTTCATTTTAATACCTCGTCTGGTTTCAGAGAAATAATTAATTCTTCGGTTTTTAAGAAGAAACTTTAACACCCCGTATTTCGAAAACGAAGCAATTGCGGACATACAGGTTGTTTCAAATCAAACCGCAACATCGTCGTTTCTATGAGTTGAACAAAGAAAGATTGATAAAATAACAGATGTCAGAGTGAAAAGTTGCAATGACACAAATGTCACTCTTTCTTTTTCCTTTATAAGTGTCTAATGGAAGTTGTCTTTATCGCATTTATAGCCTATATAACCTATGTTGCGATCAAAAATGGTGCAACCTGTATAGCAAAATATCATTGTTCTTTCATACAGAATCACCGCCTGTAGTTTGTCGCACTTATTAATTAACACCTTGTATAACCAAATAAACCAATCCTAAAGAATATCGCTCATGATTAACAATTATTTTCTCTTAGATATCACTAAATTACCTGTAAATTTGTAAATGTCAAGGGCAATTCTAACCATAATTTCTTAGAACTCGACGCGTATATCACCATAATATCCTTCCTAGCTTCTGTAGAATTAATACCCTTCAAATATCCCGCAGTTAAGTTCAACGTTCCTGACGGTCTCAGCTACAACATTGTTTGTATTCAGATTTCAAAACTTAGAGTAAAAAAATCGAAAATAATAAATTTTTAGTCAATTTATTTATTTATTAGGTATAATTTAATAATTAAAAAGCACGACTGACCTTTAACAGAGTATTTGGTAGTGGTAAGCTGCTAAGATTGTGACTATTTAAATATCGTTGCACGTTTGAGAATATATCATATGCATATTCGTTTACAATGGTCCCGATATCGTCGTTACTGAAAGCACAAATAATTAGATTTTTAAATACTTCACAAATAAATAAATACTGATTATTTACATCTACTCAGGGCCGGTATTTTAACCTGTTGATTAGACCCGGATAATTAGCTGAATCGTTTGAATGATTAATTCTACCACTAAATTTTTCTAGTTAGACGTTGCAGAAAATTAACATAAAAAATGAAATCATCTGATTACCTAAATTCGCTATAATACACTCAATATGTAATACTTAATTATTCATAATATAAAAAAATATGTAATTTGAAAATATGAATGGTGAATGAAGTTAGAAGACAATTAATTTAATATTAGGATTATTGATGCCAAGAAGTTCGCGGTGAGTATTTCGAACATCTACAAAATAGATTTTTAAAATAAACTGCAAAACAGTAACATTTTTGAATAGAGAATAAAGAGACCATTTGACGTGTTTCGGGATTTTCTATAAATATACAGGGTGGCCCAGAACTCACCTTGTTGAAACGACAATGAAGATGCCAAAACTGCAGCCGAAAACATGAAAAAGTTTTTCCTTTGATTAAATAAAGAGGTCTAAAAACTACCAATCCCAAAGTAGCAGTTCACATACGAGAAAATGACATGAATTATAGCTATACACCAATTTGAAATTATTTTAAAACTCTCCTTTTCACTTTCAAGGCTAACAAATTTTAAAACCTCTTTATTTACCAAAGGAAAAACTTTTTCATGTTTTCGGCTGCAGTTTTGGCATCTCCATTGTCCTTTCCATAAGACATTTCCCGGTGGGGCGTGAGTTCTGGTCTACCCTGTATACAGTAACCGAAGTAATGAATTTACTCTTGTTAAATCTCCACACTGTATATTAGATATACCGATTAAAATACGACTATAATAAATATTATACATTACCTGGGTGCAAATTGATCATTCAGAATTGCCGTTAAATTTTCAATGAGCTTCGACGGCATTATTCCAAAATTGAGCTCTTGAAAGTCCAAATTCGATGTTGCTGAAGCAATAGACAATACAGAAAGAAGCACACTAACATATTTCATTTTGTATAATTTATTATAATGCACGTTATGTAACATGCATACAGTCTTTATTGGATGTGTCTTGTCTTCAGCTGTCTCACATATCAACTGAAGTAACCTTTTTCAGGTGCAGCATGTTTTGGATTAGGTATTTATCATTATTTGTGAATGCTCAATTCAAAAATATTTTTGCTATCCTCCCATGTATGATAAACTAACTGTTTGTTCTAAAATATTTAGGAGGTTTACGAGCATACGTGATTTTTTTTTTCGTTTTGATCCAAAACGTTCAATGCAATTGTATTATTGCAGTTGACATATTTGCGTTAAAAATAAATTTTCCTGTACTTTCCCTAGTAGGAAGCACAAAAACACATTTATATAATTTGCAGTGATTTAATTTCTCAATTTTTTATAAATTTACAGTATAACTCAGTTCAAGATTTTATGAATATCTGTGTTTATTTGTTCAATGATGCCTCTCAATCCATCTCTAACGAATTTAGCTACCTCATTCACCACGACTTGACCCATCAGGGTGGTAATAACAGAGGCCATTGCGTTACTTAACCAATCGACGATTTTGTTTCCCGTGAAATGAATATGAACTTTCCTGTAAATATTTTACTTTTTTGATTGCGTACTTGTCAATTTTCGAACGTTTTACTCACCCGGAATCTTTCATGTCGTAGTGATCAAGCGAAACATTATAGGTATTGAAATCGAAACTCAAATCTGCATGTACTTTAACATTTTTCACCGATCCATCAACACCACCATGAATACTGATAAAGAGCTCTTTGGTGTGATAATCAAAGTAAAACTGCAAGATTTTAATAACTTTTGTAGTACCTGAGGACGCAATTTATATCGAAACACTCACTTATAACCCTAAATAACTTACTTTAAGGTCATCAAATTGAATCGGCAGGCTTACTAAAAGTTTTTTCTGGTCATGAGAGTATGTTACCACAACATCTTCATTTCTGCTAATAGTGTTAAAATCTTGTAGATATCCGTTTTTTAAATCAATATAACCAGTGGGTTTTAGCTAAAAATTATAAAATAACAGACATAAATCTTCCTTATCTGCATTATTTACATCAACCCAAATATTTTCATTATTAGGTATTGATATTTGTTATTTACTAGCGGCATTTCTAATGTCGTGAAACGAAGCAAATACCTTCAAATGTTGATCACTTATTGGAACTTTGTTTAAATTGTTGTTGTTGATGTACTTCCGTAAATTTTCGAATATTTGATCCGCATATTCGTTTATAATAGTGCTAATGTCTTTAATACTAAAACATCAAAATATTTAATGTTTGAATTAATAAAATCATTCCTGTTTAAAGGATTGAGGGAAGGCCATTCGAAATGAACCTAATCCATAAAAAATTATCAAACTTTTGGATGTTTAGGTACAATGGTAAGAATTGATAATTTTTAAATGGCATTCAAATCGTCTCTTCCAACATTAAGAACTATAAGAAATCAAGTTTTTTAGTTGATTATAAGACCTTACAGTTTTCATAGACATGTAGAATAATTCTATTTCTAAACTTACTTAATTTCTTCTACAGCCTTGTCCTTAGCCGCCAATTTTTCTACAAGTTCTTTCGGAAAAATATTGTCGACATTGCTCAAAGCCGAATGGAACTCTTTCGAATTGTAATCATTTGGAATAGCTAAACTGCAAGAAAACAAGCAGAGAATCGGAATTATTACTTTCATTATTCTCAATTCGCTAACTAGTAATACTTTTAACAATATAAGGTATTGCTTACGTTATTATTGTTATTATACCCAAATGGTGGAGTACTTGATGCAAATTCTTGCTAAATATTAGACATGTAATGATAAGATATTTTATCAAGATTGAATTGATTTGGAAATGAATTTGTGTTTATTGATTGCTTAATTGTATTAACCCACTTGTATGTTTTGCCGCTTAAACCACTTATATTGAATAATGTGTAAATAAATCAAAATGTTTATCCATTTGTTTCAATGCCTGATTCTAAAAAAATAATAAATTTTTATGATCTAATCATCACGACGTTTTTACGTGAGGTACTTATTTAATGATTGTTTATCGGTATTGCGCTACGTTTATAATTCTGATTTTGACTTCCCCTTATCAACGTGAATGATGGAAAAATGTTGCAATTTTGTTAAAATTTCGCGTCATAAATTTCAAAAGCAATATTTGCCAAATTTTCGGTGTCATTATGACTTTTATTTAAAATATGGAATCTTCAGATACAGATATTTTGAGTGACCTCAAGAAAGAGTTCAGGAACATTAAATGTTTGGCGACCGAAGAAAAGTCGAAAAAATCTGTACGCAACTGCGGAGAATGCAAAATTGGCAGCGATAAACCAGAAATTGATTTTACCATAGCATCGGCAAAATTGGATGGAATTTTAACGAAAATCAAAAATGATTCTCCGCATTATTTCAAAGCTCTCTCAATGGCTGCCTCGATTTTATACGAAAGGGCCAAAATTTGTCTTAATTTAAATTTATTAGAAGAATCCAAAGCTTATTTGGAAAAAGGTTTGCAACTGGTTGAGAAATTTATTGATAATTCACAGGTAACATTTATCTATTTGAGAATTGTGAATTTTCTATCATACATTGTTTCAAGACTGAATGATTTCGACAAGGCAAAAAACCTCTTAGAAATGGTCGTCAACAGTGAACTCAAATGCAAACCTGTAGTGTACAGTACCGACGATTTGTTCCTCACTACCAAGATCGAGGACAACGTCTCTAAAACCAAGCTGGAAAAATTAAATATCAACAATATACAAATGCTGGGATGGATATACTATAAACTAGGCATGACGAATTTATACGCCCAAACTATCCATAAAGGCTTACAGTTGGAATTAGACATCAATGACGGGGATCCAGTTCATTGGGCAACCAGATGTTGCCGACTGGCATCGTTTTTCATAATCCAAGATATGTGGGAAAACGCTAGATACCATTTATCAGCAGCTCAAATTGTTTTGGACGCCGTGGAATTAACATCATCTACGAATGCTTCGTTTTTTAAAGCACAAGGCGACCTGGCTAGAATATGGGTAGGTGTTATCCCAATGCAAGATCTTTGAAAACGATTCCTTAGCAGACTAATTTGATATTCAATATAATTTCAGGTTAATTATGGACTGCAGCTCTTTGGCATCAGCAGGAAATCCATACTGGAGAAAGTTTGGGACGAGAACGACGAAATTAAGCCGAATAAAAAACTAAAATCAGAATGTTTTACGTTTTCTGGAATGGATATTCGCCTGCCAAATGTTCCCGTCAAAGAAATTACCAACGTGCAGGAATCGCGCGAGTTATTTTCTTACACTCACGTATGGTTGAAACGGGCCAGATTGTTTTACTCCCTAAGAGACTATCCTTTGCAATACATAAACATAATATTGGAGCTCAGCGAGTTGTACAGATTTTTGGCTTATTACGAGAAAGATTTGGATTCCCAATACGACGTGACGAAAAAGCGTTTCGAGACTTTGGAAACTTTGAGTTCCGTCTTGCGAGAAGTTAGACCGAGTTGCTACGCCACCATGAGCTTGGAGATTATCAGAGAAATTATAGATGTTCAGTTGGAATTGATGAACCTGAATTTGAAGAAGTTATACAATCCCATTGAGGATACTGCTTTAAACGAGAGCGACTTGAAGAAGAGAATCGACATCGTTAATGATGTTAATGTTAAAGTTGGGAAAATTTATAATAAACGAAACGAGAGTAAAATTTTACACATCGCAGAAGACAATAAGGAAGCCTTGCCGGGTACGTCGGATGAAACGATCACAGAAGTTGCCCATGCCAATTTCGTGTTATAATTATTTTGAAGAAAATGTGTACCTATATTACAGTATGACAGCAAAATTTTATCTTGTTATTTTCTATTATGAATATATCTCATAACTACATGCAAGTTTTTTTACTAAATAGCTCATAGATTACAGATAAGATATATTACATACATATTATAGATATAGATATATTACAGATAAGAATTTCGTGACTTCAGCTATTCTTATGAATCACCACTATAGTTAAATCACTAATAAATAAACCCTTAGGATTATGCTAATAAAATTTATTCAATATTAGAGGATAATATTCCGGAATATTATTCTGAATTTCGGTCGAGCCGTTTAGTATCGTCTGTATTATCTCATTAACGTCGTTAACAATATTATTAGCGACACCTTTGATTATTCCTTCGATAATTCCTTGGATTAGAGGATGCAAAATTGTGGTGACAAATTGCGACAGAATATTAAATATAAAATCGGTGATATTGCCATGAGTTATAAAAGAAATATGCCTGCAACAAAAATATATCACATTTTTTTTGTTAAAAATACATGAAGTGAATATACCTAGTACATATTTATAGAAAAAACTTACCCACTATCCGTGGTTTTTAATTCGGCTATGCTGGCTTTGAAATTTTTGAAATCAAATTCAAGTTCAAGGTAGAATTTAAAATTTTCAATTACCCCCTCTAACTCACCGATGATGTGAGGTATTAAAACTTGGATATCATAATTATACGTAAACTAAACAAATAAATTTTATCATTGCAAATTTTCAATTTCTAAATTAAGTGGAATTTTCTTAAACATACTTACACTAAGGTTTGAAAATTTCAACGGTAGTTGCAGCGACAATCGATTGTCGTTTATGTTACTATAGCTAACCATAACATCTCCGTTTCTTTCGATGCCTGAAATTCCGTGCAATTGTCCATCGCTAAGATTTATTTTTGCCACAAGAAACTGAAATAATTTTAATCATTCCTCGAAAATTGCAATTATAAAAGTAACGCTCACGTTTTGGACTATATTCCCTAACGGCGCCGGATCCAATTCATGTTTTATTGCAAATTTTGCAATGTTTGGCAAAAGTTTATCTACGTAATCATTCACTATTGCCGTAATAATTCCAGCTCCAGATTCAAATGGACTGAAGAGACTGTTAAAGATTATTAGAAAAATAAATACTTGTGTTCTCTATTAAATTTTAGTTCCTTACCCTGAATCAATAACATTAACATCTTTTATTTGGTCTTCTAATGCACTTGCATAAGAAACTGCTGAAATAGCAACGAGTAAAGTAAACCCTTTCATGATTAATGAACTTAAGAGAAATTAAATAAAGCTGGATAGTTTCTTATTTTATATATAATCATGATACGCTAGCAAATAATTGAAAATGATAAGATATCCATAATATTTTTTTAAACCTATTGAAGTGTTTATAGTCTTATTGTGCGCGTTAAATAATTGCGTTTAAAGCCTCATTCACACTGGTTATCAATTTATTAACTCTCTTAACCTGGCTATTAGCTAACTTATAACCTAGTTTAAACAAATCTTAAGAAACATTTTATTTTCTAATTTGATTTATTAATTAAGATAAACTACAGGATATCCGTAACCAAGTGAATTCCTTTGGGAATAATTCTGATGCGTTATATTATAAATCAAATCGTTAACGTCGGTAACAATCTTGTTCGCCACAGTTTTTATAATTGCTTCGATCACTCCTTGTATAAATGGATGGAAAACAGTTGTGAAAAATTCAGAAAGAATATTGAAAACTATATCTGTTATTCCGCCGTTTACTGTGAGTGAAATATGCCTGAAAATGTAACAAGATTATAACATTAGTAATGTTGTTTAAACTACTTCTTACGATGTAGTTAACGACAATTACAACTACTTAAAAAATGTTATTAAATGCGGCTTAAATACAATTTATTCTAAAGCATTCAACTACATATTTAAATATGTCGAAATTGTAGTTAAAACTATTTAACTATTTTGCATCAATGAATCAATGAAGAGAAAAATAAGGTAATTTTTTCCTGGTATTTTTAACATTTGTAATGACAAAAGTCTACGAATTGAGGCATGTAACTAATTTAAAATAAGCTCATTTATAAAAAGGGCAAAGGAATTTATATAAGTTTTGTAGATTAGATCTTAAACAACAATTCAGGTAACTAAGTAATTTTAGAATTTTAAAATTTTAGAAACCTTACCGCATACATGTAAATACTATTAAAAATTTAGTAAAATGTATTTAAGTTTTTGGGCTTAGAAAAGTAATTACATAGTTGGTTATTTAAATACAATAAAAGTAGTTAAACTACATTTTTAACTCCTTGTAGTTAACTACTTAACAACAGTGAACATTACTAGCATTAAAAGTTGTCACTTACCCGCTATCAGTGGTCCTAAGCGTATCTATTTCCGCAGTTAACGTGTTATAGTTGAAACTGAATACCAGGTAAAATTTAAAATGGTCTATTTCCCCGATCAGGTCCCCTTGGGGTCCCAGTCCCGCAAAGAGCAATTTGTAGTCATAAGTGAACTAAAATACAAAATATAATTTAGGAGAGATCATTTAAGAGTTTTAGAAAACCTCACACTTAAATTTGAAAATACGATTGGGAGCTGAACAGTTAACGTCTTTGTCTTGCTCTGATAAGTTATCGAAACATCTTCGTATCTTTCAATGGTAGAAATACCGTGTATGGCTCCATTCAAAAGTTCAATATCGGCCAAAAGGAACTGAAATGGATTAAGTAAGATATGATATTCGCGTACCTATGCTTGAATATATTAAGTATTTACCGTTTCTTTAATATCCTTAAGAGGGATGGGGTCCAGTCCGTTCTTTACTGCAAATGTGTCAATATTCCCAAACAGTTTGTCTGCGAAATCGTTAATCACCGCTGTTATTCCACCTTCATCTTTAAGACTATGAAGCACAAAATTTTAGGAAAACATTACTCGTAAAATAGTATCATAGTTTATTAAATGAATTTAAAGTAATATTTTTTCGGTTGATTAGTTACTATTACGGCATGTTGAATTAAAAAAAATATTTCAAAAAACATTTACCTACAGAATTCCAAAAGTACAATATCTACAATATCTTTTTAATATTAAAATTAGAAAAGTGAGCTTGGATATAAGGTTCATTATCAAGGTGAAAATACCGGGATCAAATCAATTTTTCTTACCTTTTTTGGTTCTCATATTTTGAAATCAATCCTTTTAATAAATTACTTTCGAAGCCATCTTCATTTTGGAGTGGTGCCGCCGAAGACAAAAAGGCAGCTATAAAAATCGCTATTGATAGTCGCATGATTTGTTTTATTTTAAAATAATAATTTTGGAGCACTCGTTTTTGTTAGTTCTTATCCCAATGATAAAGCAGATAAAGCAAAATAATTATTTTCGTCCAATGTTGTTATGAGAGTATTTAAAAGTATTTAAGTACCTACATTTTACATGTATCTAGGTAGAAATGTTGAGTAATTTTGAGTCTTTTAAAAATTGAACTATTAAATTTTCCGAAGGAGTTTAAAAAATGTAATAAAAAATAATGTTAATTATTTCTGAACATTTCTTTTATACCAATAATATTTATTAGGCCTTATTTGGGTATCTTACAGATATTTAAGAAGGCATTACATACTCCTATTATGTTTTATAGTACTAGATGGAGTCAAAATTAAATTAAAAAATTTTGGATCAAATTTGATTCGGTTCCAAATTGTTGGTTGAACTAATTGCACTTCCACTACATGCAATAGAAATAGATTTTGTAATTCTATTTATATATCTCAACAAATTTTTGCGATAAAATATCTAATGGCTAGAAGACGAAATCGTTTCGATGAAGATTTATTTCTGGAAGTGGTATGTTCAATTTTTGATTGTTTTTAATTAGTTTTTGTCGTTTGATATTTTATTCAATTCATTATAGGCTATTTCAGATGAACATTACCTATTAAGTAACATATTATTAATGGGTATACATTTTATGCGCACAATTAAGATTTTTTTATTAGGATTTGCTTTATTTTGATTTAATTTTTAGGACGGACATTATGCAAATTATGAGGGAAATGACAATGGAGATTCTTTATTAGTGTATGGCATATTAAAGGCATTAGTGGAAGAAGATTTTGAAAAGGTGAAATCTTTGGTGAGGCGCGGAAAATCTGTTAATATTAACGATAGCAGTGGAAATACTCCTCTACATCTTGCTGTTCTCAAAGATAAGTAAGTGGGGCATAAAAAGAGTATAAAAGGGGTAGATATAAATGAGGTTTAAAAAGGGAATAGAAGAGGTATAAAAGGAATATAGAAGGGTTAAGAAAGGGTTATAAAAGGGCAATAAAAGGGATATAAAAGAGACTACAAGGGGTACTCAAAACCAATTCGTTCAATTAAGTTAAAAATACTTATTAATATAATACTACGTACTGAGTATTCGATATTAAATTAACACAATTGTGTTTATATATCAATTTATAGATATGTTTTATTTTTGGAAAATTTACCATCTTAAAATTATCTGTAACAATTATTCCATTAACAAATTATTATACGCAATTGCGGTGTACTTAACAGATACTGATCTAAGAATTAACGAAAATAAGCAAATAAAATATCCTTCAATTTTTTCGCAGTTTGGAAATCTTGGAATTTCTTCTGCTTCAGCCGCGCATTGAACTAAACGCCCGCAATTTCGCCGGGGAAACCCCTCTACTTTTGGCCATTAAGTGCCACAGGATCAGAGCGGCGGAGGCCCTCATTCATTGGGGAGCCAATGCGAACATACCCAACTACGAAGAAGTAACTCCCCTGCACCTCTCCGTCACTTATCCCAGGTTGGCCCATTTGTTGATTAGAGCCGGCGCCTACTTGGACGCCACAGATTACAGCGGCGATACGCCCTTACATGATGCAGTCGCAGAGGAAACCCTGGAGACTGTGTGCATGCTACTCTATTACAATGCTGATGCGAACATTCGCGGCGTGAACAGCCTTACGCCTTTCATGAAAGCTATAATCGCGAAAAACGTGGAAATACAAGCCGTTCTGATGGATTACGTGGACGATTTCAACATCGAAACGTACGATCATGTGACTATGCTAGCTTTGGCTATTAGTAATAGATCACCGTTTGTCGAAGAAATTATTCTTGGAGGTGCTGATGTTAATTACGCGTACGGGTACGATATTATGGACCCGTTTTCTCTGTGCTTGCAATATCCCAATCCAAAGACGTTCGAGTTGGTGTGGAATAGGCTTAAATACGACGGGGATGATATGTCCCTTGGGAGCATATTGTGGAGAATAAGCGGAACGTTGAGAAAAGAGATTTTTAAGAAATATATAGACGTGATAATCGAAAGCGATAATTTAAATCAAGTGGTCGATTCGGTCAGCAATGCTGAGGATTTTTACATGGTTATCGTGAGATTCTGCGATTTTTTTCATCAACTATCTATTGATCAATTGACGAAGTTGACTTGCAGATTGCTTTGTTACGGGTATGTAGCTACTAGTTTCGATATGAGCAAAATCTTCCTACACTACGGTTATTGCGAATTATTTAAAATTATGCTGCACATGGATATCAAATTTATAGGGAGGAGGCCACCGGATACTTCCCGGTTAATTTACGATTTGAATTACAAAGTTAATAGCCTGATGGATCAACTTGTAGGCGTTGTTAATGTAGAATACTTACATAATACAATTTATCAGATATTAGATTATTGTATTTACCCAAAGCTATTAACGAGTTACATTGATTTAGATAGGGACGATTACGTTACTTTTAAAATATTGCATCTTCCAAAAATTCCATCTCTATTAGAGCTAGCTAGAAATAGATGCAGGGAATATTTAATTGAAAAATTCGGAATAACTTCATCTAGGCAGTTTTATACTATTATCGGTCATATGGACCTTAATTTAATCTATAAAAAGATTTTGTCGTTCGAACAAAAATTGTATTTTCCATCTTATGTGTACTCCACAAAATACAAATACGTGTAAATAAATTTATACGATTCTTACATCTTCTTGCTTTTTATGTGTGTTTTAAAAATGTCTATAAAATTGATTCCATTTATCAAAAGGTATTCGAATAACTTATTAGTTTGAGGCCTAAAAACTCAACAATGAAAATTGACAGTTCTCGATCGAAATTTGATTTGTTAAATAAAAAGAAGACGAAACTAACCTGTAGAAAGTGTTTTATAAATGTCAAATTGAAGAAAGGTTTCTTAAAGTTATTTTAATGTTTTCAAGGAAGGATCAGTTAATTAAAAGAACAGGCGAATATGGAATTGGTCGATACGATTTTCTGAGGCAACTTATCAACGAATTCGCAACAACTACCTCCTACGGTAAGTAATTTATATTTAATTGAAATGTGTTGATGTTAAAATATCTTAATTTCAGAAAATAAGAAGCAGACATTAGCTAATTTGGCTAATTTTTCATATGATCCAATCAACTATGATTTTATCAAGCAATTGCACCTAATCGATTTGTTTTTATCCGAACTATCGAATGATCAGGAAGAGTTAATTCATTTTGCCTTAGCAGGATTGTGTAATCTTTCATGTGGTATGTATCCAGTTACTTTTACACAAGAAAGCAATGCGCCCATATCTACTGGGTGTTTTTTTTATGTTTAGTTCAGAGAAAATAAATAGCTAAAAAAAGCTATTACGAATAAATGGCCAAGGGAATGAAATTTCTTACAACTTTTCTATTCAACATTTTCCCTTATATTGAAAAGTTAAGGAGATATAACAGATTTAAACATTTGACAAGATACAATTTTTCTTAAATATCTTTTGACAAGTGTCATATTTTACAAAACTGAAACTAGTTGTGAACATGTTCACAAAACTGCAAATGTTTGCCTGTTTAAACTTTTTTCTATCTCCTACAGTTTCCGAGATCCCTTTACTAAACTTTGAGAAAAAACTCACCCTGTATATAAATTATTTATTACATCAGTTGAGGGAATCAACATCTACATAAACTACGACGGCTCGTTATTAATTTAATACATTTTTATTTTATTTTAGATCCTGAAATTCAAGAATACATTATATCTTTAAACGGTATTAAACTTATTTCCGGTTACCTACAACACGACAACATAGAAATATCATTGAATGCTTTAACAACATTATATTACTTGTTTGAAACCAGAACTCATTTAATAACAAAGGAAATCGAGTCGGTTATATCAAAACAAGAACTAAGCAGTAATCAAAGATTGAAAAACCTAGCATCAGTCTTCCTCCTCGCTTATTGTCCCAAGGCAAAATGATTCTTCGAAGATTGTCGAACGTAGCTTCGAAATTAAAAAAACTAGAAGTGGGAAATCAGGTCACTGTTAAAAGACAAATAACCAAAGAGGATGTAGAAAAGTTTACTGCATTAAGTGGCGATATGAATCCCATTCACACTACTGCAAATCCATTTGCAGTGGTACACGGGGCGTTTTTGAATTCCATAGTATCGAGTGTTATCGGAAATTCCTTGCCGGGACCTGGTACAATTGTCGTTCAACAAGTTTTGAATTTCCCTAACAAATGCTTTGTAGGGGAAACGGTGAATACCACAGTAAAGGTGATTGAATGTAGGAAAATTATTAAAGTTGAGTTTAGTTGTGAAGCGGATAATAACAAAATAGTTTTGCATGGTACAGCTAAGCTTGTTATGAACAAGTAGATGATATCGACACATGATTATAGTGATATGTTATGGCTATTAAAATTAAGGGGAAACCTAGGTTTAAAAATTGGGATTATGTTTAGACTAACCACAATGACTTGGCAATCCTAACTTGAACTGATTAAATCTGGATTTTCCCTTCATTTTAGTTTTAGTCATAACATACATATCAAATTAAATGGTTATAAACATAAATAATTGTTAATAGTATATTTAAACCTACTTATAAATATTTATGTAGGTCTGTATATTTATGTGTATATCTAAGCAAAAATAAAATTTATCACCATTTTAATACCTGATTTTTTTAAAGTTCTTTTCTTAATTTTTCTATTATTGTACAATTACCTTCTTGGTGTTTAAACATTAAAGTCAAGGACAAGGAGAATTTTCAAGTAATGTGAATATTAAGTATTGATGGTTGATTAATTCCATACCAATATTCCACCATTATACCAAACATTATCCCACTAAATAATGAAATAAAAAATGTATATGTAATGGATTATTCAGGGTGTTAATTAAGTGCCGATACTTCAGGATATGAATATTTGGATGATTTTAGGAAGAAAATTTTATATCAATACAAGTCCTATACCTCAAAGTATTCGAGCTAGTTTTAGAAAAAAATTACTTTTCTATCATAATTTTCTTATTACTCCAGATATTTTTATGAAATTTTGTACACACTTTTTAATTATTAAGGAGCATTTTTTGAGACCAAAGTTTTTTTTTTATTTTTATCAATTACGTCGTACGGGGTTTGAACTGAATAATATGTTTGAAAAAAAAGGTACGCCACTGCTTTTTATAAAAAACAAAATTATTTTTTAAAATACTCATTTATTTTGGAACAAATTCGGTCCGAAGACTTACTTTCGTGCGACGCGCCATTTTCAAGAAAAAAATAAAAACCAAAACAATTTTTCTCAAAGTTCATTGAGACTGCTTTTGATATTTTGTTGAAATTTTGTAGGCGCCCGCCATGCATGGAAACACTTTTTTTGGGGATAAAAATTAATTTTCCACTATTACCAGTGACGTCTTCCTCCGAAATTATATAAAAATATTTAGAGTAATAAGAAAATTATGATAGAAAAATGATTTTTTTTCTAAAAGTGTAACACCCTGTAGCTCGAAAACTAAGAGGTTTGGCAAATATATTGATATAAACTTTTCTTTTTAAAATCATCCAAATATTCACATCCTGTATCGGCACTCAATTAATTAACACCCTGTATTTAGTAAGTTTTGTGGAACTTAGAATGGGGATTAAAGAAAACAACATTATGATAAATTGTAATACGAATTAATATTAACATCTCTCTAAAATTAGAATTAGTCAAGTAAAATTTACTTTATCTCTTGGTTACTTCACTAATTTTCCGGCAACGTAAACCGACAAAACGTTAGTTTCGTTTCCGCTGTAGATAAATTTTTGTAAAAGTTCTCTGGGCGAACATGGCTGTAGGTAATCCAGTCCAGATTCAACGTTCATATCGACAATAATGGCATCAAAATCCTTATTTACTTCAAAATTACCGGTTACTTTTTGAAGCGATAGAGCTGAAATTAGAAATTTCTTTTATATTAGACAATGACTAAGGGTTTTCTTTGCTCATTATGTGTAACTTTAAATTCGAAAATATTTTACCTTCACTTCCTCCTAATGTTCCTAAGTAAAATACCTCTTCGTAGGTTAAAGGAACCATGTTTTTAATATAAAATGAAACATGGACCGACAAATATAAACATAGTCTCATCGCATTAATTACAGATGGATAAGTGCCCCCAGATATATCTAAAAGTAGGATTTTAATGTTATTACGTCAGTAATACTAGGTGATTTTTTGAAAAGTTTCCACCTCCGATATTTCTTCGCACAAATTTTTCCTGCAAAGAAGCCTAAACAGATCAATTTTGTTTTGACATTTAACCAGCATATTTTTAATCTTGCTGTTTCATAAAAACATTAAATGGGACTAGGGGTCAAAAGGGTTTAAAAAATTCATAGTTTGAGAACTGATAGTTAGATTTCCATTTTAGATGCACCTGTATAAAGAATTGAATGGTCTTTAAAAATTTAAAGCCATGCAATTGTCGGTTCCCTAGTCCCGTTTAGGATTTTGAAAAGGGTAAAAAAGGGTTTGAAATGGGTGAAACAGCAAGATTATAAATAAGTTGGTTAGATATGTCCAGACAAATAAAACTGACGTATTTTGGCGCTTTTTGTTGCAGGAAAAATTTGTAGAGGGAAATAACGTAGGTGGAAACTTAATATCATGTACCTGTTCCTAAACCTACAGAGATGCCATAGTCCCATAATTGCTTTACGTTAAGGGCTCCAGATTTTAAGCACAAATTTGAATCTGGACAATGAGATATCGATGTACCGCGTCTTGCTAATAGCTTTAATTCATCGTGCATAAGATAGATACCATGCGCCATTATAGTCTAAAAATTATAAATATACATATTTAAATTAAAAAATCTGGTATACATATAAGCACTAATGCTGACAAAGAAAGAACAGAAGCGAGTGAAAATGTATTAAATGATCACGAAAATTCCATCAGGAACAAAACCAATGAATTGGCATATTAAAATGAAGGTTAATATAGGAATTCCACTCTTAAGCCAGAATTAGGGACAATATAGAAATATCTAATAATTAACTTTACTTTTTTCGTTAACAAGTTTCCTTCATCATAAGCATTTGCGTAGAAAGTTCCATAAATATTTTCAACTAATTCCACTTCTTCCTTGGTCTCGGAGATGTGCGACTGTAAAATAGGTATGTTGTATTTATCACTGCGATTATCAATAAGGTGTTAAACTCACCTGAATATGTAAATCTTCGCATTTCGCAAGTAAACTCAACTCTTGCATAAACTCCTTGTCGACGCTTAGGGCGAATCGTGGGGTTATAATGGGTTTAACTAGCTCATTCTGAATTAAATGATTTATCTGTTATTGAAGTCATTCTATTAAGGAGGTTGATGAAGGATGTTTACTTACATACTTAGAGTTCACATATTTTACAAATTCTTTGGTATTAGCAAGTGATTTTTCAGGTAATTCGATGTAATCGTCGGGTGCGTTACAGATCATATTAACTTTTCCAACTAACGCCCTTTGACCTTGTTCAATAACCGTATCTACCAGAACATTGCAACTTGCATTGAAAATTGTTCCAAAATAACACGCCGTGGTCGTTCCACAAGTAATCGATTTTTTCTAAAACACAATAGATGTTATGTAAAATAATTTTTCGGTATAAACCTAATACTTTCGAATTCGGCAATCAAATGTCTTTAGATGGATTTGCTTTTTTACTTACCACTACAGCTTTGAAAACTTTTCGCGAAAATTCCAAATCGGCAAATTTCTTTTCCGTAGGATAAGTGTAAGTGTTCAGCCAATCCAAGAGTTGCTTGTCGTATCCCACGCCGCAATTCGGATATTGCGAAGCGTGCAAATGGGTGTCAATTAGGCCGGGAATAAGAATCTGGGACTCAGTTAGTGTCCGCACCGGCGTTTTGTTTCCCAAACATAACTTAGCCTTTGCATCGGAAAGGGTGCTCCCCTGGCCAATAGCCAATATCTGCAAAGAATCCATTAATATTAAATAATTGTTCTCCTTAACACTGATTATCTTTCTTTTAGCACAATTGCTTCTTGGTGATTCACAAAATTAAATTTTCCTGCAAAAATTTCTTAAACATTTGTAAAAATCGGTTTTTAAAGGATATACCAAGTTTGAAAATTGGGGAAAATGTAGCAAATATTTACCTTCGATCCGATAACTATTATGTATCCGTTTTCAATTACTTCCATTTCCGTGCGACTTTTGCAGTGCAATATATTTCCCATGAAAATTTGCGGATTCTGTGCTGCCATTTTGATAATGTTCAATTAGTTTTTGGGAAGAAGCAATTCGACGTCAATGTCACTGAAAAGATTACGAATTTCAAGCATACACTGTTCTAGTATTTCCGACTCCTAATATATGGTAGTCGCTGAATTTTTATCATTTATGAAGTAGTTTTAAAAGTTGATAATCGCATTGTATAGGGCGAGCGTAAATATTGCGTTTGTTATTTTAATTACGTCTATAATTGGTACTTGGTAAAAATGGTGTTACTAACAAAAAGCAAATATAAAATATTTTGTAATCTTCAAATAATTATAGTTAACCCATAAAATGCTGGTAATTTTAATGATATGTCTACAAAAGCATAGTTTTGTATCTGAATTTGTTTCTGAGATGTTTCAAGAATTTTTTTTCTACAACTTGCGCATTGTATTATTCATAATTTTCTTAATATTTGAAGTGTCCACTATACGTTTCTATCCATTTGTTAATTCCATTTTAGTACACCTTACATTGCTATTGCATCAATTATTGAATTACCCTATATGTAGGTACAATTATTACTGTTTAACACCTATCGTGAACGTGAATTATCTTAAATAAATTATTTGACTGATAAATTTTCAATAATAAATCTTATGCCAACAACAATTATGTAATTTTTTATAAATATGTACTTCTGTGTAAGTGATTTTTCAATTGTCAATTGAAACGAAATCTTATCTAATTATTCTAAATAGTTCCAATAATTCTTATTGGGCAAAGTTCAGTTTCTATTATTTATCTGTAAGAGTGGAAGTTTTTTATATTGTTCCCTGTTTACCTATGTATTTGATCCTATTTGGGATATTTCAATACAACATTTTTGAACTATATATCTATATATTTATATATATCTCATATATTTAATAAAAATTTTAATAACATTGCAAAGTTCTCGAATAATATAGGTAGTTATATATTTTAAAAACAATTTTCCTTGGCCGTTGAACTAACCTATTTTCTTCAACTTCCTGATGTGAAAACCACCGTGCTCCGGTACTGCCTAGTATCAAGTGCGGTGACATCACAAAATGGTCATCGTCCGCGGCGAGAGAGCCGAAGAACACCAGCGAACAACTATAGTTTCTAGGGGTCCGCCAAGTACCAATCTCAACGTGAAAGGGGTACTCAAGGGCACGCGGGGGGTGATACGCACCGCTGGTGCGGGTCGATAACCGGGCAACCCCGTGGAAGGTACTCAATAAAGTCGCTACCAGAGATAGTAACAGGGTTGTCGGCTTTTTACACCGAGTCACTGACTCCCGATGAAACTGCTGTGGGATTTTATGAGAAATAACTATTCTATTGTGTGAATTATGGGAAACCATGTTTGTTCCGTTATGAGTTTTTCTAGAGGTTGAAATTCATTTTTAATCGGAATATTATTCTTTCTCTGTACATGTATTCAATTTAATAGAATTTATTTATTTACTATAAAAGTTTACCACTAAAAGTTTGCTTCAGTCTTTAAAACAAGAGATATACCAGGAAAGCTAATTTTAAACAAATTATCGTTGATTAAAAAAAATATTGTATTTAATTGGTTTTGAATAAATCGATTTTTAATGAGGAAAAAACGTGAAATATTTACGTATACCTCCAGGTCTGTATAACACTTGTTGCCTAATTTAATATCTGACAAATTAAATAATTAAATTTAAATTCGTTTGTACGAGAAAAAGTATCAAATTTAGTTAGTTTTTCAGTACTAAAGTTGACACACATACCTACTATAAGACTTCGGATAAAAATTCTAATCCCTAACCAAATAAAAATGTCAAATTGATTTTGTAATAAAAAATAAAGAAGTTGTAAAATTCGATTGTTCCAGTTTTCTGCAAATATCTATTAAAAAGGTAATGACTATAAAGCAATTAAAAGTCAAATAAAGATAATTTTTATTATTAGTTTCCATGTTTAACAAAGTCTGAGGTACCTACTATTTTTTGGACAAATAGACATTCTTAATCGTTAACATTAGTCATAAGCACATCCAAATAGTTTTTCCGAGAGTTGCGTATAATATTTGCTCTAACTAACAGAAAATCTATTGTAAACTTCTAAAAAAACCTTCTAAAAAAACTTCTCGGTAAACCTGAAAACTACCATTTGCTAGACTCCCTATTATAAAAACGCTTTTTTTAAATTATACACTATTTGAGTATGCAATCAAAAAGCTTGGTGGTTTGTCGTGGTTGAATGGCAACCCCGCTGAACACAGATTTTTCAAGCGTTACAATTCATGGCATGCATTATCATCCCCCTCGGAGCGAACAATCTCCAGACAAAGAACTTACCCATCGTTCATTTCAATTAATCGTCTTCGTCGTTGTGGTATAAAAAACCGACAAGAAACACCCTCGAAACGTTCACAGGATAAACTTTTATTTCCACAAAATTATATTTAACTTAATTAACTATTTAACTATTTAATTAATTATTTATAGTTAATGTTCAATCGTTTTTCTAATGTATTAGAAGTTATACAGAAAAGAATATTTTTTTTCGATTACTTAAATAAAAAAATAGTTGTATAGTTTCTTTTTAAGAATTTTGAATTAACCAATTTTAATTGGTTAATATTTTATCACGGTTCTTATGGATTGTTTTAAAATTCAAATGTAAGTTATCAAATTTTAAATAGGCACGGCGACGTTTTTTTACCTCCACTTACCACTAAATATCTCTGTTAATATTACTTGTATAGGTATACTTTCTTAGAATAATTTTAATTTAAAAATAACGCACATTAAATTCAAAATATTTTTATATTGAATACTTAATAAAAAATAATGTAATTTAACCGATAGGGCATTTATATGGAACGTTATCTCGACAACAAAATTCCCTACCAGCTGACAGGTTTGTTCCGTGCCATTTGTCGCTGTGGTTTTTCACGAATAGGTACGCTCTCTCCTTATAAACATGCTCTCTATCAACCGTAGCACAAATTATCTCATTACTCTTGGGCAAGTGCTTGATTATCTGAAATATAAAAAAAATATTTCAGCGCCAACAGAATCCTCTTTAATTAACTAGACTGTTAGATAACATTCTCGGCGCACCGGCTGTTGAACTAACAACAATGTAATTACTCCAAACGACCCTCAAATGTTTACTAAAAACGTTTATCTCATTGTACACGAAGATTCGTTATGCCCACCTACCCCTATTCAGGTAACGTCGAATTTTCACACGGTCACCACGGTCTTATATCAAGTACAATGGACCCCAATCAAATTGAAATTACAGACAATGCTGTTCCACCTACAATGTCGACAGTAAAAAAAGTTTAAATCACAACCGGTCAGCTATACAAAAACCCACCCGTCCATTCCTCCAGACAATTTAAATACCTAATTACGTCGGGGTGTAACTTCCCCTTGCCCGGTCCGAGTATTTTCCACCCTGGTAAACATGTTGAATAACCGGTTAAGCAGAGGAAATTGATGCACTTGCGTTTGGTCGCCTTTAGAGGGGCTGTTACGCAGTGTGGTGCTTATAGGATTTAAGGGAATTCTCAATTACATTAATACAAACAAAAATAGCAAGGATAATAAAAATATTCTAAATAACATCGAATGTTGTTATGCAAGGAAGAAGATTTTAAATATGTAGATAAGAGTATGGAATATTGAAGGTGATAGACACTTAATAGATTGTAGTTGGAATGTAAGAAGAAGGCTGGTTAAAATTATTGGATAATTTTATACAAATTATTGAAAGATGCAAAATTACTACATTAAAATGCTAATTCGTTCGTAAGAATAATTATAAACATACACCACATACATGCTGAATTAACATTTTTCTAAAAACAACAAAATAGTAAAATTTCAATTTTCCCCTGCAAAGGTACGCCATTGACCAAAAATCTAATAAAAATAAACAATAAGAAAATATTCTCACCAGCTCCAAGCACTTGTTCGTGCACTGGCGGTTGCCCACTGCATTATTCATAAAAGGGGTGTCCATTTCCTGCGTCAAAACAGGCAACCCTTTCGGTTGTTTCTTGGATCCTTTCTTAAACTGCCCGCTCAAGAAAACCCCGCAAGTGCACGGAACCGGCTCTGGTTCTTCTCTACTCTCCTCAGGTTCTAAAATTTTTTTAAACAATGAAGGTCTAGCGTATTTCTCCGGAATATCGTTATTTTCGTTTTCTTCTTCTTCATTGCTATCATTTTCTTGTTGTTTGGTTTCAAGTTTTTCTTCAGTTTTGTTGTCTTTGCTCTCGGTTATTCCTGCTTGCGTAGTATCTTGGGTAATAAATGCGTCTTCTGCGCTAGAGGAATCCAAAGGAGTTCCTTGCAGAACGGCAAAAAGTGAAATAATTGCCAAAGTTATAAACAGAATCTGAAAATAATTTAGAAATAGTAAAATTTATGTTGCTTTTTATTAAAAACAATTTCATTTGGTTTTAATGAGGCCATCAATTTTACCACTCACCTTTTAGATATTATAGTATCTACTAAAATTTTAAGGATTGGTGGTGAAATTATGCCTATAGGTAATGAAAATAATGATACCGTAAGAATAGCCAGATAGCAATAATGCATTTGCACAAAAATGTACTATTTACTACAGATACTATAAAACAGTTTTTGTGAAAAATAAACTTATCATTGACTTACCTTTCTCATTTTTCGCAAAAGATGCTACCTACTCAAGATTGGGTTACAATAAGTATGGAGGAATATTATTAGGGTCATTAAAATGTTACGTTTGCAGTTCGCACGAAAATTGAAATTGCAAACAAGGCTAAATATTTAAAACTTTAAATAATAAACAATATAAATTATTTGCCATGTTGCTATTATTTATTCGTATACAGAGTGAATTTAATTTAGACCGAGGTTAATAAAATTATTGGATTTTCCACTTTTATTATGATCTACCGACTTTTAGATGTGAAGCGTAATTTTCCAGCGCATTTGTTGCAATGGTTTAAGATGGAGTGAAAAGTTTTGTTTTTCTTTATAAATAAAAGATTTATATTGTATATCTAAATAAAATTAAAAGATAATCTAGATGTACCTAAAGAATTAGACAGGGAAAATATAAATCCCGATTTCAAGCAAATATCTTGAATGAGATTCATATAAGACCCGTAATAGGTCCATGTGGCAAATCGTATCTACTACAGGAAACTTACTAAACATTACTATTTGTAAAAAAAATAAATTATTACTCATATTTCACTTTATTCTAAGCGGTCAAGGATGAATGTAACACCCACCCAAAATTCTCGCTCTTTAGAAATTTGGTTAGCTCGAAGTTTTCAAAACGGTTTCCTTTAACGTTGGGCCTTTCAAGGAGTTACCCCGAACTAGAAATTTAATTAGTAACGCGATACCCGTAAAATTTGTTGAAAAAAGAGCCATTATTCTCGAATGCGATATTGTATGACCACCAAGAACGCAATTAATATGAAATATTCGTCTTTGTGGGTGGTGGGGGCCGCTCCCCATCCTGACGTAATCACTAGATACTAATTTTACTTCTAAATTTCGCATCGACACAAAAGATTCGCGACGTTTATAACATTGTTTGTTCTCGTATTATCTATTTCCGCGTCTGAATGTGCTAATGATCTAATGATCCAAACCTACCTATTGGTTTTTTATAAACATTATTATTTGAGACTCAATATAAAACTGGTTGGCGAAAGACGAATGCAGACAACAGTAGGGAATCGTTAAGAGGAGCGGATTTTCTTGGCTAGTGCACTTAAACATAGGTATTCATAAGCTCACAGTCTGAATCCCAATGGATCTAAAATATCTGATACGGATTCTGCCGGAAATGATTAAGTTGGTTTTATGCATGGTTGCAACGGTGGGAAGAACAGCATAAAAATCGTTTATCGATTAAATAGTGCCGGTATTTTCTACTAGGTACCCATTTGTCCGAAGCTCGGGGCAATTCATCAACTTCGATATAAATCGCTTTATTATATTTACCGTCATTGAATAATTTTCGTTTGCGATAACAAATGTTCCTATTAACATTATGTGGTAGATATTCAGTTCCCAGTATACCCGTAAATTTCTATTTCTAAACGTATTCATCTCGCGAACGCGCGCCTCATATGTAATAAGGAAATTTATGGTTTATGGTCCACCTTCTTCGGTTTCATTAAAGTATGTCACATATCACAAGAAAGTGGTCGACTTGACCAGCCCGTTCTGCCATAACGATAAAAAATCAATTTCAATGAAGTGTCAGAGATTAAAGACGATTCAAGTGGAAGAGCCACGCACTTAACCCGAACAATAAACATCTAGCTGGAGCTCGCGGTTACGTAACTTTTCAAATTCCGTTCGTTCTTTATTTGAAACCGACCGTGCTTAGGGTCCCGGTTCCGAGCCAACGGTAAGCCTACATCTTAGGCACATATACTCGACGAAGATTGCCCGGAAATTAACGAAATTATTATAATTTAATACTAATGCGTCATTAGAAAATAATTTATAGCCCAAATAAAGAAGTTAACCGAAGACCCAAAAAGTACTTAGCTGGAATATATTTAATTGGCTTTTGTAACTTACGGCTCAAATGATATCTATGTATAAAAAAGGTAGAATGAGGAGAGAGTGAGCCTCTATTTACCTGATTTGCCACTCAATAAGCCAAGAATTCAAGTAGGTACATATCCATTAATCACGAAAGCCAATTAGAGAATGAAAGTGGGCAAAAAATTAATTTCCTCTAGGGAAATTTAGTTCTTTAGGGATTTTTCTCTGGAACATAAATAATGATTCATTGAAGAAGTTAGAGGCTTTCTTCGATAGTTATGCCAATGGCTGCAATATTATGGATATGCATGCATTTGATCAATATCTGCCTGAGTATAGGCCTTATAGAATTAATTAAAACTATATAGTCTCGATAAATATTTTTTATTTCAACAAATTTATTGATACATTTACCTTATTCAACAAATGTTAATAAATACAAACACATGGGCAATTAATAATAACAATTTATTATATTTTAAACCAAGTTTGCTAAATTAGCATATCTAATAGATAAATAAATAATTGCAATTGGAATGAATTTAACAGAATATATTTGTTGGCGTTTAACGAACGAGCCATTTAATTATTTGACTAATTACCCACCTCTTTCATTTCGTTATCAATTTTCTTTAATAACCGAATAGAATCCAACAAACTGATGTTATTTTTGTCACATTCCACTAATTAACAAGTCTTTGGATGTACCGTTAATAGGAAACATAGGCACAATAAGAGGGTCGCCTCTCTCTGTGGGCTCGTACACCACCAGAGTCCGTTGAACTCGTCGACAAAGAGTTAAAAGTGGACTTTTCTGAAGCCGCTGCCCGATTTGTTCTTCCTGCCACAGATAAAAATACGAATACGTACGTACTATGTATGTATGTATACACGAAAATAAACCGCTTTTCACCCTGCTGGTTATTAATTTAATTAACCGACCTGGATTTTGATTCCTTCCGGAAGGAAAATGGTAAACAGTTAGCCTGAATTTAGACTTCGAAGATTGCATTGAAGTGAAGATTTTCTTAACACAAAATATTTTTTCTTAAATTCTTTTGCATGTTTTATTTCTGTTAAATTATTTTGTGTCTACTATTAAATAATTATGAAGTAACCTAAGATTCAAACGAGCATATACACCTCTCACTTAATGTATCAATTTCACTGTAGTTTTGAATATTAAGTGAGTGCTCATATTTTTCAATTCTATACATTTTAAAAAATTTAGAAAATATTTTAATTGAAGAACCTATAAATGACCTAAAATCCTGTGTAATGCTCGTTTAATGCCCTTGAAATGGTACGAAATGTTTATGCAAAATGGCAAAATAATCGTTCGTAAATCGCATATTACTTATGAAACTAATTATCACATGGGGTAAATTCCCGTTATGTTATTAAAATGTTGCCAACACTAACTTGCCATCTAATAGGTAATCTTCAAAGGCAGTCACTAATAAGCATAGTCGCCGGACTGTGAGTCGTTGGCCTTTTCTGACTTCGTCTGTTGCAAATAAACACCACCGGCATTATATAGTCCTGTCATAAATATTCATCCTTCCTTTTTGTTGGAAAAAATAATGTAACTGTGATTGTAGGATTATGACTATGTTATGTAAATATTCTAATTTAATTAATAAATTAAGTTTAGCAACTCGTCTGGACGCCTACAAACAATTTGTTACACAATTTATTGGAAAAAAATTTGCAACACAGGTAAAAATCGATTTTAAAAAATACGTTAGGTATTAATAATACTATGTAACTTAGAAATGCCAAATTGTAGTTTATATTACTTTATACACTGATGAGCATAACTATAGTACCACCTTCATTTTTCCATATTGGGAAACTTTTACTTTGTAATTGATTTTTGTCTGGTTGTTGGTTTATTGTCAAAAGAAATATTTTTAAAATGCCGTAATATTTATTAACCTTAATTTGTCGGGGAAGATACAAAATCAAATTATAAGTATCCACGAAAAATTCAGATGGTGCTATAGTTATATTAAGCTACAATTATGTTCCAGTGTAATTCCATCAATCAATCTTGTTTAATTTAAAATTCATAATATTTGAATTCTACGAATGTCCTCCTATATTTTACAATTTCAACTTTACAACAAACTTTAAAAAAAATAAGTTACTAAAAACTTTGACAAGAAAGAGAGAGGTTTTGATTAATTTCTTAGATCCCGCATTTTCGCCTGGCATTAAGCCAAATGACATCTAAAAACTTTGAAACATAAATTTTTGACTGAAATTTTGTCAAAAGCTCAGCTGCTCAAACTGTCCTCAAATGTACAATATTTATTTACATTACTGTTTATCAGTTTAGAATGTGCAACATTATCGATGCTGACCAGCAGAGCACTTCGAAAGTTGTTAAACAGCTCTAGTGATTTTAAAAGGTTTGCGAGACGTGCAAGTGATCTTCAGAGTTATGACTGATCGACCGACGAATAACTCATATTTTGAAGATGTCCTCCCGCACACCGGATGGGGACTCTACTATAAATTCATGTTAGGAATGGCGTGCGCCTCCTGTTTTGCCAATGCCACTGCAGCCATTTGCGTACCTTTAGGGATCCCCCTATCGAGTTGTGAAAACGAAATAAACGAAGTAACTCTGTACGAAATATTTATATGCTTTACGATTGGAAGAGGCTTCGGCGGATTCGTGGGAAACTCCTTGAGCGATATGTATGGAAGAAAACGGCTCCTCACCAATAGTTTAATATTGAATTTCGCTACTACATTCATGGTAGCCTTCGCCTATAACTACTACATGATAATGTTTGCAGTGTTTTTTTTAGGAGGTTCTCTTGAGCACCATCAAAACGTGGTTAAAATTCATTTAGCAGAAATATTCCCTATGCAAAAACGAGGTTATTACTTGGCCCTATGTGACCTGTTTTGGACATTTGGTTACTTGCTGGTTGGAGTTGTCGCAGTTTTCTTCAGAAATTCATCATACGTTGAACATAGAGTCGTCGACATGAGGGTAACAACATGGAGAATGCTATTTGCCACATCCGGTGGGCTAAATTTAATGCTAGCTTGCGCATGCGCTCTATTAGAGGAAAGTCCCAGATACTTTCTACATTCTCGCAAAGACTACCTTGCGGTATTGACACTTAAACAGTTTTACGCTATTAATAAATCTACTTATGGTAATTCCTTTGATGTCAGAGAAACCGATCTTAGAGATCTTGTTAGAGACTATGGTCTTTATTACCAAACGGAGACGTTGGGCTTTTCAAAACCTGTTGTAGATATTATGATATTAATGGGCAAATCAGTGAGGTTGTTATATTCAAAGGCCTTTTTGAACTACACGCTACTTCTGCTTGTCCTAAAATCGTCGCTTTTTCTCTTGAGAATTAGCGATGTTAATATCTTTCTAGCTAAATACATCACTGGAGATTTTCCCCGAGAAGGTATCGATATAGTGTACTTAGATCCTCTTAAAACCAATAACATGTGCGGAGAATACGAAGAGAACAGTTTACTGTACCACAATTTCTTTTTGATAGCTAGCAACATTCTGCTCGGGCAGTGCTTGATGATTTGGTTATTGGATCACATAAGTCGGAGAGTATCATTGTTCATAGGCATGGCCACAGCTGGTGTTTGCTTCATGGCGTTGTATTTAGTAAAAGAAGGCATTTCGAAGGTGATATTCTCGTCAATGCTCATGATGTCCTTCAGTATAGCCATGACCGCAATATCTGTACTAAACGTGGAATCTTTCCCAACGTGCGTAAGAGGAACATCGCAGGGAGCGACCAGCTTTTTAGGAATATTTTTATCTATATTGTTAATAAGATTTTATTTCTATTTGTCAAATTGGTTCGTGCTAATAGTGGGTGCTTTCATTTTTCTTACGTCTCTTGTAACGTGGTCTGTAGCCGATGTCTCCAAATTGCCAATGATTGAGTAAAAATTCTGTATTATGAAATTACATATGTCTATAATTAGATTTTTTTAAATAAAATAATTTCTATGTTGGTTTGTTTATTTTTACTCTACGAATTTTTATAATATCGAATTATATTTTATTATCGAATTGTGTGGTTTTTAATAGTTATAGTCCGATAGGAATAGCTGCAGACCCGAGAGTTCAGTGTGAAATAGTTTTTACCATGATG